CCCTTGGCGGGAGCGCCGCCGCGCTTCCCAAGCGGCACACTACAGCAGTGCGCCACCGGGCCGGCCCGGCCTTAGCATTTTGACTTTTGCCCTTATTTGTTGGCTACTGTATGCTAATTAACCTTTTGAAATGATCTATTGTCCTATTATATAATTTAAGTATATAATTTAATATATAATGATATATAACTTAAATTGTTGCATAATTTAATTCTCACTTCAATTTGATAAGGGTAGTATCATAATCTCTGTTTCACAGATGAGGGAACTAAGGCTCTGAGTGATTAAGTAACTAGCTCCACATCACAGAGCTTTAATAAGTGGCAGAGTCCACAGTTGCTCTTTTCTCAACCCTGTGTCACCTCTGCGATTCTCTGCTCAGATTGGAAAGCTCTGAAAGGTGATAGACACAGAGGCAATACAGCTCTACTTTATTTGGCTGATAATAAAGAAGATGGCAGAAAGCTTCCCAGTAGCTGGGGAGGTATGTAGAGGGGTTAAGGTGGAATGTCCCTGATCACTCTAGGAAGAATGCACCCAGAAACTCGGGTGCATTTCATTTATTTGGCAGGAATTGTGTTTGTTAGGAAATAGCAGTAGAAGTCATACTCTTGGTTCATAGGTTTTTGATGTGGATTGGCATATTTTACCTGTACAAGGCAGGACCTAATCTAGGTGGCAGAGCTACCTACATGAACAAACATATTCAAAGTAAGGTGAGATGGAGACAATCTGGACTTTAAGACTCTTATTTCCTGGCCATGGGGTTACTATATTGAAGGCATTTTTAGTGTATATTTGTAGAAAGGATATCTAATTATCGGAGGCCAGTGAATATGTCCGTGACTGTAGGTCTAAGAGAGAGGCTTTCAAAGATCAGAAGTGGATCAGAGCAGAGAAAGCAGATTTAGCAATTTCCAGTCAAACTTGTAGTATTCTAATTAGACCTCTGTCTGCAGGGAACTGTAGCTTTGACTTTTTTCTGATTATCTCTCAGCTGTGTCTACCACAGTAGGTCTCTGTGAATTAATAGTTGGTAGTGCTATGGTCTAAATATTAGGCAGGTGGAAATTTGCTTGCTTGGAATTTTTAAAAAGGCATAAATCTTAAGCTTGCATAATGATTGTATCTTATTTTCAATATGTATGTTTAGCTATTTAAAAGAAATATCTTGTCAACCAGGTTTAACATAAGGTGTTCTTTTTTTGGAAAATGAGTATTTAGGGTGGTCTAATGTATAAACATCAATTCCAGAGAACCAGAAGTTATCAACTTTAATGTGAATATTTACGGAGCCAATAGATTAATGAAAGGTTGTTTAAAGTAGAAGATCCTGATTTAGAGTTGTTTGTTAGTGATCTATAAAAATTCAGCCCTACCCCATCATCCCCTAATATCTGGACTTTTCCCTTTCTTTTCCCCATCTTACTTTACCCCCCTCCCTCCCTAAAGCTGCCAAAGAACAATTTATAATTCCTTTCCAAAGCTGTAACTCATCACTGCTGGACACACAGCTTGTTGATGAATATTCAGTTCTTTTCAGGTGATTCATGAATTGCCATTCCTGAAAACTTAAATATTTATTAATGGTCAAGTCAGGAATAAAGATGAAATGAAAAATCTTTTATTGTTGCCTCAAGTTGGAATTTGTGAAAATTGAACAGACTGCTCTTTAATCTCCAGAGTTCAGGCCAGTAGTCTCTGTGCTTTGGTTTTGCTCTGGTTATTTGAGCAACTATGTGGCAACAGTGTGCCCTCCTCTTGCATCATGTTAAGTCTCCTTACTGTGGTCTGAATGTTTGTGTTCCCTTCAAATTCATATGTTGAAATCCTCACTCCCAAGGTGATGGTATAAGGAGGTAAGGCTTTGGGAGGTGATTAGGTGATGGGAGTGGATCCCTCATGAATGGGATTAGTGTCCTTAAGAGATCCCAGAGAGACCTCTCACCCGTTCTTCCATCTAAGGGCATGGTGAGAAGGTGCCGTCTATGAACCAGGAAGAAGGCCCTCACTGAATCTGCCTTGATCTTGCACTTCCCAGCTTCTAGAACTGTCAGAAGTAAATTACTGTTTTTTGTAAACCACCTAGTTTATGGTATTTTGTTATAGCAGCCCACACAGACTAAGACAGTCATTGTTATAGCATCCTACTTTTTGTTAGCAATACATCTCCCTGTGAGTATCATGGCTGACAGGGAGGAAGTGAGGAGAAAGGAATGAATAGTTCCTACCTGCTTATTATATTTGTCCATTTCTGTTGCTTGTAACAAAATACATGGAACTTGGTAATTTATAAGAAAACAAAATTTATTGCTTACAGTTTCAGAGGCTGGAAGCCCAAAGTTCAGGGAACACATTTGGTGAAGGCTTTATTTGGTGATGGCAGAGTATCACATTGTGAAATGGTAGAGCAGAGAGAACCAGAGACTTAACTTTCTCATTCACTCTTTTTAAAGCCCTCCAAACCATGCCCATGACCACCATTTTAAGTCCATTCATTCACTATGGCATGGTCCTACAATCTAATCACCTCTTCAAGCCCCCACCTTTCAATTACCATAATAGGATTTCCCACCCTCTTTACACTGTCACAGTGGTGACTAAGTTTTGGGAGGACATTCAACCCAAGGCACTTACTATGTGCCAGGTGTAGGGATAGATTCTTTATGCATGTAATCTCATTTAATCCTCAGACAAACCTAGGTAGAGAATATTATTCTTATTTGATTAATACAGAAATGGAATCTCAGAGAGGTTAATTAATTTGCCCAGGGTGACAGAGGTGGTGGTATATTCAGGATTTGAACCAAGACTTACCTCTATAGTCTATGTTTATTAATTCACTGACTGCACTAGGATTGTATAATCCAGGATCCTAGGGGTCAAAATCATCTAAGGACTAAACCTGGGCTAAATTTCAGGGAATTCTTTGTCTTTTTTCTATGTTACCCTTTGCCGGTATTTCTCTCCAGCTGAAATAGGCTTAATATGAACATCAAAGTTTGTCTTGACAGGAAAATTAAAAGAGATCATTGTTATTTTTTAGGTTGTGTGGGAAGGGGAAACTAAAATAAGATAGGATGAAAAAAAGGAGGAGCAGCCCCTCTACTTTGTTTTTGGGTGGAGTGGGTTGGTTGTGAGACAAAGGGCAATTGACTTCATGTGGATGTACATGTTAACTTCAAAGAATTTTTAGATTCAGTCAGGAAGGCTTCAATAAGCCATCTCCTTGGGTCCCAGCCAAGCTACCAGGGAAGTCCTCTACTTGATGCACTAGAAACAAGAGGCATTAAAAACAAGAAAAGTTTCCAGAAAAGTCCGATATCAAATTTAAAAAAAGAACTAAAAAACAACTAACTTGAAAAAAGCTACCAGATGAAGGAAAAGATGAAGCTCTTTGAACACTGGCACAGGGATTGGGTTCATGAGATCCCTCTCATTGAATGGGGTGATAAAGGGATATTCAGTTCAGCAATTATTTATTATGTTGCTACTAAGTGCCAGGCCTTGTGCAAGAGACTTTGTAGAGCTAAAAGAACAGGGACTTCGGAAAGTTACAGGCTGATGGGAACAACAACTGCAGGTAACTGCAGTATCAAATAGAGCAGGGGCCATATGGGAGAGAGCTGTTGAAGTAGAGAAAGACTGACCTGGGTTTTATTCTGGTCTGTCATTAGGATGCTTTGTGACTCTGAGCAAGTTGTCTTGTGCCTGTGAGTTAATTTTCTCGTCTCTAAAATGGGCACCTTGCAAGAACATTGTGCGTTGCAGGAATGTGCAATGGAAGGAAATGTATGTAAAATGCTCGACACACAGTAGACTTTAGTAAATGATCACAATTTGATTATTATTAAGTGCTTTGAGGTTCAGATGAGGAAAAGGAAGAATCTGGTTGGGAAGGTTAGATCGGAGAAGGCTTTCTGTAGGGTTGATTGGGGTGTCAGAGAATGGATAATTTTGTAAGCACCTGCAGTAAAGAGTCAGTGCCAGTGCCTTATCTTGCTGCCTTCCTAGTGTGCGTGGGACCGAGAACTAGGCATCTCTCACCCTGCCACAGCTGGTCTGGGGCTGGGATGCCAAAGCCCAGAGAAAAACAACAAATTTCACATAAGCAGCAAGTTTATGACTCAAGTGGTCAGGAAGATGAGAGCCAAACCCAGGATAGGAAAACTTGAGCCCAGGCCAGACACCCAGCTGGCTGGAGATCCAAGGGAGTCCTGGGTGGCAGTTCCAGTGGAAGAGCAGGGCAAGACAGGGCAGGCCGGGAGTTTCAGATCTCTGAGCTGCTCCAGCTTATTTTCATCTTAGTGATTGGGGCAGGAGCCTGTGTATCCCACTTGGGCTTGAGGTCCCCACAGAGAATAGATGGAGTAATCACTACCCCCAAAGATTGAACCCTCCTGGTGGTAGGTGTGAGGATAAGTGTGGGTTACCAGCAACCAACTGCCATAGACTGAGGGTTCTGATAATAAGTTCCTCACTGTGAACTTGCTTCTAGCCAGAGAGAAACTAGCTCTGTGAATCTCCCAGGATCTGCATGTTTACCATTCTTATTAAAAATAACTGTTGTCTTGAGTTCATTTTGGAAAATGGAAAAACTACAAATAAATCACCTGTACTCTCACCATCCAGATGTACCACTATTAATATTCTTGGTGTTCCTTCCAGACTTTTGTCTATTCTGATGCATGTGTTTGTAAATAAAATGGGATTAGATACTGCTTAATGTTTTGTGAGATTTTTTCTCATTTAAGATGTCATTGCCTATTTTTATTATATGTCATTTTAATGGATGCATAGTATTCCATTATATGAATTTATATAATTCCCCACTGTGGAACATTTAGCCTTTATATGATTATTATTATTTTTTTTTTGCTATCATATATTTTGGGATAAATACTTTGTAGAGTGTTTTCCCCTAAACACTCCCTTCCTCTTTTCTCCTTCCTTCTCTTCCCTCCTTCTTTCCTCTCTGATGGTGGTTTTCTGTTTTGCAGCATTGCTGGGAGCCTGGTGTATTCCTACATCACTTTCACTGAAGAGCAGCTGAACAAACAGTCAGAGGCCAGTAACAAGCTGGACGTTAAGGGGAAAGGAGCGGTGTGACCGGAAGATTGCTTCAGCTACGTAGGCCCAAGTTTTTAATCAACTGGGAACGCTGGCAATTCCTACAGATACTGAGGTGTCTTGATTATGGAGAAAATGCTATTCCTTTGCACTTGTACAATCAAGGATTGATTGCTGCCTTTTAAAATTTTATGATGAGAGAAACTTATTGACTCTATTTTAAATGTGTTAGAATTAATTTATACCAGACTGGAAAATGTACTGGGCTGTTTAATTTATTTTTCTTCTGTGCTGACAGTGAAACATCAGTGTTTTGAAAATATTTTATTCCATTGTTTGATATCCAGGTGTCCCTGAGAGCTGCATAGATAATGTGCTCCAACTGGAGCCTCATCGTTCAAATTGTTGCTGCATCTGAAGGCACTTTAGCCTTTCTTCTGCTGGAAATGCAGCCTAGTATCTGAAATTTCTCTTTAAATTTTCTGATGATTGCATTGTCTTCATAATATCACTACATCTGCCAAAGGCAACAACTTTGGCACTAAAAAAATATGTGGGCTTTGAAGTGTATTGCTTTCCATGTTGGCTTCCCTGAGAACTCATGGGATGAGCAGAGTGCATTTCTTGAAAATATGCTGTTCCTTCTTTGTTATGTAAGATGGGGATAATGAGGGGTTGGAGGAAGTAGGCCTTTTACTCATTTATTCATCTGAGTAATTCATTCCACAAAAATGTATTGTATATACATACATGCTAGGTATTGTGCTAAGTGCAGAGGATACAGAGATACCTGGGAGGTAGTGAAAGATCTCATGCCATAGTGACTGAAGGTAAGATGCAGAACTTACTTAGCTCTATTAATCCATTCAGAAGATGTGACTGAGCAAGTGGTTTCAGCTCTCTCAGAAACTGTCAATGGGAGAAGCAGCACCTGCCCTACCTACCCCACAACTGTGAGTCCAAATGCTGCAGTGTGAGATAAGTGTGTGTGAAAAGCTGCATTTTGTAAACCAGTGTAGCTCAGCATTGACCCCTTCTTTTTTGAGGGGGAATGGCCGACAGGCAAGGTGACCACCATCTATTCCCCATGACTTTTCCTTCTCTAGGTTTGGTTGCTACTCTTTTTACTCCTCTTTGGATCAGTATGATGAAGTCCCATATTTCTGAATTTATTGGCTTGAGGAGAAAGTCTGGTTAGACATTTTTGTATTGTCAAATCGTGTATAATTATAGTTTTGCTAAATGCATATGACAGGCTTTTATACCTCAGGGCCCCTGGCCTGTGCTGAACCTTTTGGCTGACCAGAGCAGTACAGCAATTTACAGCTTCTGCCCTTTCTGTGTTCTGATTCCTGGATGCCTCCTTCATCTGCCACCAGCATTTCAAGATAAGAGAGAAAAGCCTGGGTAAGTTGGAGATTGAATAGACTGGCCAACCATTTTTGGAGTTAGTGTTTTCAATTTTTGCAGGCCTGGTGTAATATACTAGAGATTTACCTGGTACTCTGGCACCTCCCAGAATGTCTGGATTTTTGCCCTCAGGTTGATATCTTACTAGGCAGAAAATTCTTTGACTTATTATCTACCTCCTGGGAGAAAAAGAGGCAGTATAGAGTTAAATCCTTAATTTGCCCTCTAAGTCAAATCAGCAGTGGTGAGAATTCTGAAAGCCAAATCTATGACTAGTGGCCCCTCTTCTTTGAGTCAAAGTGAAGTCTTCTTTTGCCAGTCTGCTTTTAGTAAATGCCAGGTGGATTAGAATAATGCTGTTTGACCAGATTACACATTGCCAACATGTCACATGATTTTTAATTGCCTCATGTGGCTGTTGACTTTATGAGTCAGTCATTTGTAGAATCCAACTTGCATGTAGGTTTAAAAAAAAAAGTGCAAGTTTTCTGTAATCCTCTTATATCAGGAATCCATGGAAGGTTTTGGTCAGTAAAGCTGATGCAGAATCTTTGTGGCAACTGGCTGTTGACTTTATGAGTCAGTCATTTGTAGAATCCAACTTGCATGTAGGTTTAAAAAAAAAGTGCAAGTTTTCTGTAATCCTCTTATATCAGGAATCCATGGAAGGTTTTGGTCAGTAAAGCTGATGCAGAATCTTTGTGGCAAGAATAGTAGAGTTTCGCATATGATTGGTTTAGAATAGTACCTACGATTTTGGGCCGGCCTTTGCTTTCATTATGGCCTCAATTCAGTGAGCAACGATTTAATGAGCATCTGTTGTATGCCAGGCATTTGCTAAACTCTGGGGAAACAGATGATTAGGACATGGATCTTGCCCTCAAGAAGTGTATAATTCTTTAGCTAGAGGTGGTGGCCTGGACCCTTACTGAGAGAAAGGAAATGGATTAGAGTCAGTGATTTGTGAACAAGAACTGCCTGCACAGTTATCAGTATCACTGATTCTAGGGGTGCCCCACCCGTAGAGCTAAACTATTTTTAATCTGAGAGGACTTTTGTAATTCTTATTAGTCTTCTAGCTCTGAGATAGCAACACAGCTCTTAGAATGCTTTGAATAGCCTGAGTTCCTCTACTGCACACATTCTTAATTCCCCATGACTATGTAATACTGATTCTTCCCATGAACTAGGCTGTAATGAATTTTTCCCTCTCTGAGGAAAAAATCTTCAGGATATATGAAATACTAGATGTAAAACTACTTAGCACAATGCATAGTACGTATTATGCACTCAGCAAGTGTAGCTGCTGTTACTATTTCATAGTGAGACTGTAGGCAAAACTAGATTCTTAATTTGTGTTCCTTAAATGCTAGAGGCCTGGGCAGTGTGTGTATTTCCTGAAAAACATGATCCTGTACCTCATTGCTTCTAGAATGCTTAGATAACAGTTTCTGTTCACTGTTTTTTTTTTAAAATACCTATGGGATATAACTGTGGTCACTGGGGGTGCAGGTGATTCTGTTTTTTAAAAAGAATGGAATTACTTTCACATTGTGATGGTAAATTTCAAAACAGGAAAGTTGTTTGCTATCTTAGGGGAAGATAATTACATTTCAGAATGGTAATTCAATTAAAACTTCGCCAGTTTATCACCTTTAAGGTAGCTCCTGTACAGATGGGACGTTCCTTCTTCCCCTCTCTGAAGATAATGTACTTGACCACATGCTTCCAGGCTTATCTCAGTTGCCAATATATGTGAGTCTTTGGTGCCCTCACTGTTTTTTAAACCTGTCTTCTAGTTCTTACCATTAGGATGCCACTTGATGGTATGAGCAGATATTCTACAATGTTTTTTCTTTTTTTTTTAAGCTTTGTTTTTTGAAAATACTTTTTAAAAAGAAATCTACTGGTTAGATTTATTGTCTCACAGAAATGTTTTTAGAGATTATTTTGTTCACAAATGTTTTCTTTCTCATGCTGATGATCAACTGATTTTTGTCTACAAATGTTAGTCTTTCACAGTATTTTTTCAATATAGATTCTATTTACCAAATGACCATCTTAGTGTTTTAAAAAGGTACGTACTGAGTATTGAGGTATGTAAATCAGGTGACATAAGCATAAAAATTATGTGCCTAAATATTTTTGTAATGGTGTCAAACTTTTTCCTGAAAATATGTATTAAAATTCCTTTTTAAGTGCATATAGAGGTTTAATCAAAAGCCAAAAGTCTGCCCACTTTTAATATAGCCTTCAATTAGTTGATTGAGATCCAGTTATAGAAAAAATACTGTTTTCCATACAAGTGCTCTGCATGAAGAGTATATATGACTAAATACCCAGTGTCTTTGGCATACTTATGGAAAGTTCAAAGGAAAGAAATGCTGACTGCTGTAGAATGGATGCCCTCCCAACCTCATTGGAGCTTAAATCCCCACAGTAACTGTTGAGGGTGGGAAATCCTATTGTGGTAACTGAAAGGTGGGGCCTTGAAGAGGTGATTGGATTGTGGGACCATGCCAAAGTGAGTGGATTAAAAATGGTGGTAAAGGGCGTGGTGGTTCTGGGGGCTTTAAAGGAAGAGTACATGAGAGGTTAGTATCTCTTTGCTCTGCCATTTGGCAATGTGACACCCTGCCATCTCTGTTGCCACCACCAAGGCCTTCACCAAATGTGTTGCCTGGACTTTGGACTTCCCAGCCTCCAAAACTAAGCAATAAATTTCATTTTCTTTATAAATCACCCAGTTCCTTGTATTTTGTTATAAGCAACAGAAACAAACTAATACATTGACCTTTCTGCTTTCAAGATATTTCATCTGCATAATCACGTTTCTAAACCTCTGAGCAGCTGTAGTAGGAAATAATCCCAAAATAAAATACGTTCATCATGGAGAGCCATTTTGGTACAGGCAGACTCAGTAGAAGATAGAAATACATTAAGACATGTCAGAGGGAAAAGCATATCAAGACACATAAGATTTACCATTTTAACCATTTTTAAGTGTATAGTTCAATAATGTTAAGTATATCATATGGTTATGTAGCCATTCATACCCATTAAACAAAAATTCACCATATTTCCCTCACCCCCAGTCCATGGTAACCACCATTTTTTTTTTCTATGAATTTGATTACTCAAATGATTGAATCATATAAGTGGAATCATACCGTATTTGTCTGTTTGACTGGCTTATTTCACTTAGCATAATGTCCTCGACATTCATCCATGTTGGAGCATATGTCAGAATTTCTGTCCTTTTTATTGTGCTTGTACCATTTTGTTTATCCATTCCTCTGTTGATATTTGAATTGCTTCTACCTCTTGCCTATTATGAATAATGAACATGGATATGCAAATATCTTTTCAAGATCCTGCTTTCAGTTATTCTGCGTATATATCCACAAGTGGAATTGCTGGATCATATGATAATTCTATTTTTAATTTTTTTGAGGAACACCACACTGTTTTCCATTATAGCTGCACCATTTTACATTTCCACCAACAGTGCACAAGGGTTTTTCCCACTTCACAAATTTTTTGGTTTTTATACAGTAGCCATCCTAATGGGTGTGAGGTAATCAAATCATTGTGGTTTAATTTTTATTTCCCTAATGATTAGTGATGTTGAGCACCTTTTCACATGCATGTTGGACATTTATATATCTTATTTGGAGAAATATCTATTCAAGTCCTTTGTCCATTTATTGACTGGGTTTTTTTGTTGTTAAGTTCATTATATATTCTGGATTATAACCCCTTATCAGAGGTATTATTTGCAAATATTTTCTCTCATTCTGTTGGGTGCTTTTTCACTGTTGTTTATGTCCCTTGATGCAGAGAAGCTTTAAATTTTGATGTAGTCCAATTTACCTACTTCTACTTATGTTGCTTATGCTTTTGGTGGCATATTCTAAGAAATCATTGTCAAATCCAGTGTCATAAAGCTTTTCTGTCTTCTAAGAGTTTTGTAATTTTGAGGTCTTACACATAGGTGTTGAATACATGTTGAGGGAATTTTTGTATATGATGCCAAGTGTGGGTCCAACTTCATTCTTTTGCATATGGATATCTAGTTTTCTTAACACCATTTGTGAAAGAGACTGTTCTTAAGGCATATGTTTTAATCAACTTTTAAAAATCCTTTTAGTCTGGCTTTTTTCCTTGTCCATTTGTTAAATGTACCTGCTTTTCTCATTCAGCCTTTTGCTGGCTTGTCTCATTTGGCTTCCTTGCAGTGTAGAGCTGTCAATATTGGGGAACGCTGTAGATGAGGCAGAGCACAGAGCTGGTGCCACTGCGGACCCGCAGCAGGTTGGTTGTTACCAGGGACCCCACTGACCTTCCCCAAAGTTCTCATCCCTTAGATTTTATCCATTAGTTCATCTATCCGTCAAGCCAGATTGATCTCACTGGTGAACCCAGCCTCTAGGAGAGTCCTGGCACAACCGTGTTTTACAGATGAAGCCCAAGAAGGTACAGTTGCTCAGCGTGGTTGTGGAATCCACATTCAAACCCCGATCAGTGGGAAGCAAAACAACTCTGTTCCTTACCACGCTGAAGTTCTTGTTTCTCCTAGTTCACCTGTAATAGTGGTAGCAAGCTCATCACCACTACTTGTCAAATGCCATTCTTCAAAGTTCACACACCATGGATTTAAAGTGTAAGCATGAGCTGGTGGCTGGTTGAATCTGAGAAGGCAAAGCAGCCATGCCTTTCCAGCAGTGCTCATGTTGCCCTCTTGTGGCAACAGCTACTGTTGTGGGATAAATGATGGAAAGCAATTTGCTTTGCCAAGAGGAAGAAGGAAAAGCAGTGTTTACTGAGGGCAGACTATGTGCTTTCACCAAGTTAGACTATAATATGCTTTTTCATGTTTGGTCCTCACGACAGTACTGGTGCGCAAAAGGTAGCTTTTAAGCAAGGCTGAGGGATTTGTCCAACTTCACTCAGCTGAGAAATTTAAATCTGGACTTTGATCCCAAAACCCTTCTTTCCAAAGAATACATTCCCGATAACATCCCTGTGTTAAGAGAAGGCAATAGGAGGGTTTTGTCAAGAGTGCTTCATCATGTCTACTTTATATTTCAGGTTTTTTTCAGTTTTCTTGAGGACAGTTTCTACAAATGATGACAGAATCATGAAAGGGTATGAGGTATGTGTAAGAATGAATGGGAGAATTTCATTCCACTTTGGAATGGTAGGAAAGGCTTCCTGGGAGAAATTGCATTTGTGCTAAGTCATGAAGGACAACTAGAATTTGACTGAGAAGATATTGGAGGGGACAACACTCCAACCTTCCAGGACCTCTGACCTACTTCTCCCTGTCTGGGATGCATTTTCCCTTGGTATCCCTTGATATCCTTCCCTGACCAGCCTATCTGATATGGCATCCTGCCCTTAACCACAACCTCCCATGCTTTATTTCCAGAGCACTTTCTCCTCTAATCAAATTTAAGCTGCATGAAGGCAGAGATATTGGTCTGTTTTATTCACTGCAGTATCTCTGACACGTAGAACAGCACTTGCCACACTGTAGGTACACAGTATTTGCTGAATGAATGAATACCATTCTCTGCTTGGTCTCCTTCAGTTTCTGGATGAAAACACCTCCAATTCAAGGCCCAGATCTCTTCTTTTTCTTTAAAAAAAAAAGTTTAATATTAATCCAAAGTCCATCTAATTTCAGGGAGCAGAACCATTTCTTTTAGACTACTTAAACTCTACAAAGTTCCAGTCACTATGCACAAAGACTATTTATAGTCAGATCTGTATTCAGTCAACCAATTCATGTTACCAACGATAATACCAGAAAGTGGATTTCACAACCCGGCCAAATCTGCATTAAGCCCCATCTCTTCAAAACTTTAAAAAATCAGGAGACTCCTCACCTTATATTAGTGCTCACTGGAGTAAATGACAAGAGAACGGGATGAAACCTAAATAATCCATGGCTGTTATGGTATAATCAGCTCTGCAGTAAAGATCAAAAGTAAATGGTATTTCTTAGGAGTATCACATTTATTTCATGTTAGTTAATTTCTAACAAATACCAAGTTTGAGAAAAATCTTATTTATCTATAATTACATGGCAAAGAACTCAACTCTCATTTCCCTGAGATCATGCTTTACTCTTCCTTTCCTTCTGCCCTCTCTGTAAACATATACCTATACTCTAACACTTACCTGCAGCCTTCTTGAAGGTGAAAACATGCCACATCTTTGAAGCCACAAGCCAGGCATAGTTCCTGGCACAAATATAGGCCCAGATATGTGCTAGATAATGGTATAGATGGAAACATAATGAAAACTTGTCACCATTCACGTTTACATGTGAAGAAACCTTCACCATCGATTTGGATGAAGAAGAATTAGACTTCGGTTCTAGTTTATATGGCAATTCTTCAGTGTTCTTCACAAAACAGGTAGCCTTTAAAAGTGTTCAAATTACTTCTTACTCAGAGTAAGCAAAATGACATTTTAAGTACATTATACATTCTAAATTTAGTCACACGAGCTAGTGTAGAAAAAAGCTGAGATAAAAAATCATCATATTCAGAAAAGGAAAAATTCCCTGTCTATACAGAAGACAAAAGATAAGCACAATATTAAGCGTATATAATAAATGAATTCAGGGAAAATTGGTATTAGAAGATAAAGTGGTTAATCTAAATATTCAAATACATGAAATCAGCCTATAACTTGGGTGGACAACGCTTTAAGATTTTGCAGAAGATTAACTCGATTACTAAAAAATACAGTTTATTTTTAAGGTAAAAATAATCAGTAGAACAGTGTGGTACAGAAAGAAGCCATTTTTAGAGAATAAAAGGTAAAATTTGGCAATTCCTGTTCCTACCCGTTACATGGTTTTTCACACCTGTATTTTTCATGAATATTGATTACAGTTGGAAAAACCTTAGTAACTGATTTGAGATACAGAGCCAGTTACACATCCCTACGGTTACCAAAAATATAAGATTAAGAAAAATTCCCTAATATGTATACATGTGCCATATTTGCAAACATGCCTGAGAATTTACTTAAAATGTTCCTGTAATAATAGTTTGCAAGAATGTTACAAACCTGCAAACAAAATGCATCTTTTAAAAAAGGTGAAAATGGCATCTCTAATATTGCAACAATTTAAAAAGTACAGCATCACTCATCTTTTGAAATATTTCTATAGACCATCTTTGACAGAGCTAGGATACTTTGGATTCATTTTATAAAATCAGATTTAGAAAATGCATCGTGACCATCTGCTAAAGCTACTGCCATTCTGGATAAATTGTTTTAAGTAAAAACAAAACAAAACAAAAACAAAAAATGCTTCTCAACACTTTCACCCAAAACTTTGATTTACTTGGATATGTATGTAACAATAGTGAATGTATATTATATGAAGTCAAGTGTTGTAAAGTGGCTTTTAACACTGTTTGGGAAAAAAAGTTCACATTGGTGAAGGGAAGCAGTCTGAATATATGTTAACACTTCATGAGTGTAAGGCCTAACCAGTGCAACCTCTACTCAACTGCATTAGAAAGTGGAGCCATTAAAAACAAGACCACAGGAGATATATTTTTAAAAGGCTTTGGCTCTTGAACTGATGGCTGAAAATTAATCAGAAGAAGCATTTAAAGTATGCCTGTGTGAGAAAAACAAGAATAGTTAATAATCTTTTGTAAAAGTTTGGATATAGGTTGGTTTATCAGCTGTATAAAACCACATTTTTAAAAAAGATTTTTGCACTAAAAATAAAATGGCACTCTTACAAAGCTATGCAGATAGATAATCCTATTTGTAATCACACAGAGCAATGGTTACTATATATTTTCATTTTGGAAAAACACAAAACACCATCATATCTAAAAAACTGATTGTTACTGGAAAAGTTTGAAAACTTCATCACTTTCTCCTCATAAAATCAGTATGGTTACCTGCCAATAGTTATTTCTTGGGTGTGCCAATATCTAAACCTCACTTGACCTTTTCCCCTCTATTTAATGCAAAAATGGGAAATTGTATAATGCATATAAAAATAACTGAACAGGATTCTGGCCAGCATGATACATTTAAGCACTTAAGCCAAAATTAAAACTTTCGACTTGCTTCAAAAATAATTTTGAAAATTATAGCAAATGCAAAACAAACTGCAATCTAAGCACCATGCTTAATTTCAGAATTCTCAAAATATTTGTCCTTAAGTAGAAATTTGAAAAAGCAAATTTTCACAATCCCTTATGAATGCTTTTACCACCTGGATAAGAAACATGACTTATTACTACACAGACACTTAAAAATTCATTAGAAAAGCCTTAGCAAAATAAAATGAAGCTGACACACTGAGAATATCAATTCCTCTCATAAAAGTTTACCAACTGTACAAGTTAAGAAAATTATACAAGCTTTTGTATTAAGAAAGGACAGCTCAGTCAAGACATATGTACTGTAAAAATCTTTCAAAGGCTACAAAGAATCTGGAAAAATACAGAATGTATTTCTTAAGCCCAGATAAGAATATGGAAAGACATCATTGATGTCAACAATTTTACATATACAAACCTGACCTGGTTTATTTTTAAACTTCTATATATAAAAAAATCATGCTAGCATAACTTTCAGGATTTATAAGGGTTTCCTTAATAATGACCATTTGTATGGAGACAAAAATGTCTGTTATAAAGACATTTCAAGAAACTAAAAAATTTGTCATTCACAAAACTGAACTTGGTTTTTCCCATTCCTCCATCAAACTAAGCAAAAATTACCATATAGTGAAAATTTATAATTAATACATCAAATGAGAAAGTACAGATAAGCAGATAAATCTTTAGCTGACTCAAATTTACTAAGCTTTTTTATATCCTTAAAAGGGTCTCTGACAATTTTAAAGTAAAAAAAATCTGCAAAAGGCAGAATTATGAAATCTTATTTCCTATAGGACTCTCAATTTAAATTTTCAAATTTTAACCAACTGCTTCAAGGAAATCAACTTTTTAAGGTAACCCATCAACCCTGAAAATTTTAGTCACACCAGAATTTACTCCAAAGAAAGTAAAATAGATCTAAAATTTAGTCATCTGTGTTTTCAAGTTCATCAAATTTTCCATGTGAGATTGCTTCTTGGAAAAATTCAGAAGAACCTGGACTTTCTTTTCCATTGCTGTTCACCCTTCGCCTTTTGGCAGGTCTCTCACTTTTTTCATCAAAATCATTTTCATTTCTTGCAGTCATATGGGCAAGTTTTGGGTCAGTGGTAAGGTTATCCGTTTCATAACCATTAGTATCCATATCTGTGTGAAGTGTTTTCTTATTTCCACCTGTTGGTCCATTAACATGTAACCCTTCAACTTTTTCTTCTTCTTTATTTACTATTTCACCTGGTCCATTAGATGACACTCCTAAATTGGAAGAAACATACTGATATAAACATCAGAAACTGCTGATATAAAAAAGTTGGAAGTGTAAACTATTATAAAGCCACTACAGCAAAATAGCTTTTCATCAGAAAAAACAAGGTATCAAATCTGTACATACATATGGTCTGAATTCTGGCTGTAATATTTACTAGCTGTGTGACCTTAGACAAGTTATTTATGCTCTCTGTACCTCAGTTCCATTGCTTACACAGTGAGGATCTTAATAGATTTACCTCACAGGGTTTTTGTGAAGATTAAGTTAGTGAATGTAAAGAACTAAGAACAGAATTTGGCATATGTTGAAAGCACAGTAAGTATTATGTGACAACAAATAAGCATTGGATCCAGCATTCTAAACAGACTAAATTAACAAGGACATATACATAAATTATTTGGACTTTGCAAAAGGGCTGTAACTTTCTAAAACCACGTAAAAACAAAATCAATGTTCTTTCTTAACAGAAGTTTGAGTTTTCTACTGCCATATAAAATCAAGATGCCATAACTTTTTTATTCTTAATGTAAATCTATGGGTATTGTGTTTTATAAGATCACAGTATATTTATCTAAGTGTACTTAAATAATCTGGCATAATGTTAAAAAAAAAAATCAATGCTGCACTGTCCAAGCACACACTTGGAAGTGCTAAAAGTAAACACAAATTTGCGCTGGGCATGGTGGTGCATGCCTGTAGTACTAGCTACTTGGGAGGCTGAGGCTGGATGATTGCTTGAGCCCAGGAGTTCTGGGCCATAGTGCACTATGCCAATTGGGTGTCCGCATTAAGTTCAGCATCAATATGGTGACTTCCTGGGAGCGGGGAACCATCAGGTTGACTAAGGAGGGGTGAACTGGCCCAAGTTGGAAACAGAGCAGGTCAAAACTCCCATGCTGATAAGTAAACAAAAATTCCTCCATAACAGGTGAAAAAAATAAAAGCATAATTATTCTAAAGAAAGCAAGTAACAATAGAAAGATCATGTTAGAATTGACTGCAAAATGGAATACAAATTTGGTGAAAGGAAGTAAAATACAGAATCCACCACTGGAGATAATCAAAATATAATTACCTGAAAAATATTCAACATAAAGGATGAGCCTAAGATATTACATTTTGGTAAAAAAAAAAAAAAAAGAAATACTTTCTTCAACTCAAAAATCCACTCAATTATGAATGCACATGGGGATTATGCATCATATGAAGGAACAATTCCATATAGCAAGTAGAAAAAGCTAGATGAGACTGTGATTAGGTAAGAAACTATAAGATTTCAAGGCATTAATTAAAGCCCTTACAAGAGAAATAAAATTGGTTTGGAAAGTTCCTTTCTTTGAAAAACCTGAGAATCATGACTGCATATACCTGATGCAAATGGTTTCTAAGCTACTGAATAATTTATAGGTAGTTTATGAACACTCTCCTAATCTAACAGCATGTTCTCATCAAAGAATTAAAAAAAGAAATGATTTATTTGGTGTTGATGTTGAGAACAAACAGGAAAAGACAGAAGTAGTGCCAGCTGTCTGCCTCTGAGCTTCCACCCCTAGTCCCAAGGTCAACAGTCTCAGCTGGTTCTACTTCAGAATGGATGTGGCTGGCATTAGAAATCATGTCAGTGAAACTTCCTGGACCAGGACATGTCTGCTGGACCCTACGTTTTGTTTGTTTGGCTTGTTCTTAGAGGGAAAGTAGTAAGGGAATAGAGAGGGGCTATGAAATGAACTAAGTATATACACTACAGCAGTGCCAGTGAGAAACCAAAGGTCAGAACAAGGGTTAAAGTTTTCACACTGTTTCTCTTACAGTTTCTGTCAAGGGGAGTTTAGCTCCCCAATGGCCCTCCCTACTGTCTAATTTACCAGTTTCCTCCTAAATAGGAGCCAAGGGGTGAGGGGGCACTTATCACTTTCTGCTTGGCAATTCTCAGACCATTTTAGTCAAAGTAGAAATCAAAATAATTCTCTGTGACTAGTTCTTGCTGATCAGCATAGTGATCCCTGGCCCACTGTATAGTTTAAATAGGAACATAATTTGAATGTCAAACATCAATATGCCTTTTGCTTTTCTGTTTCATGGAGATAAAAACAAATATTTCTGGAGAATACTAATGCACAGGCTGATACCTGTTTTTTCTTTTCTCATTCTTCAAGGTCATTATGTTATCAAATATTCAAAACAGTGCTCTACTAGTTATCTACTTTTTTTCATTTATAAGTTTAAAGCACTTTCCAGGTAAGTGTTATAAGCTCTCAAGGTATTTAATAAATATCTGTATTTCTGATGTGAAATGGCTGGAGTTTTGATCTAATTAATAGGAATACGTATATCCGGGCATTATCCTAACTGGTAAGAAAAGAAATAGTACTAAAATACAACAAGCTTCTTAAAAGGAATGGTCACTGTTGATAGTATGCATATTAAAGTTACGTTTTAATGATGTCAATGGGAATTCTTTCCAATTTTTTGAATTTGTATATATGTATGCTGATATTATGGTATGTTTAATCTGTTATTTACAATTTTTACTTCTGTTTTGGAAGTGTAAACCCAAACTGAATTTCCTGAGCTACTGAAGGAAAGGTGCCCCTCATTATGAAGAAATAGAAATGTTTCTTTGGTTGCTTACCGTTCTGATTACTACTGCTTATAGTACCATCTTCTTTCTCAGATTGGCTGTTACTACTGTTGGATGCAGTTGGAGGAGGGGATGGTGCTCGACTAGAAGCAGCACTTTCACTTTCATCTAGAAGACGATCCATGTAATCCCTTAAAATTAATAAAACAATTATTTTCTAATATTAAAAAAAACTGAAAATTAAAATAACTGAGGTTGAACTCAGAAGGCTTATTAACAAGTATATTCTAATTTTCATTTTCATTCTAGTCCCTCCTCTACTGCACCAGGATTTGAACATTTAAATGAAAAGCTCCTTTTGATTATGTGTTTGTTTGTATGAAAAATGCGTAAAGGCTTTAAACTAGCAAATTTTAGAGACCTATAGGAAGTTTTTAAACTTTTAAAACTGTAGGCAAGTGCTCAGAGTAGCCCAACTGAAACTGAAGGATTTTTAAGAGTAAAGGCTTTAAACTAGCAAATTTTAGAGACCTATAGGAAGTTTTAAAACTTTTAAAACTGTAGGCAAGTGCTCAGAGTAGCCCAACTGAAACTGAAGGATTTTTAAGTGAAGAGATGGGGTGATGGCAACAGGAGTAGAAAAGAATTTCTGAACAGACACAGATTGGATTTTAAAGCCCCTAAAGGCAATATGTGAAAGACAAATTGGGGCCTAGTAAAAAGGACTGATCGCCTCCCCAAACCTTCCTGCCTATCTTCTGTATTACCTTTCTTCCAGATCTAAACTAACGAAGTTCCTGGGCTTTTCTGCTGTCTTTATCCTGTGTCATTACAGATGAGCTCATTTCTTCCCTAAGTCATTCCTGAACTACACTGGGTAAGGGTTAGAAGATCTGGGCTAAATATTTGTCTCTTTGGAGTTTAGTGCCTTTCACTATAAAATGTAGATAAGTCATACCTGTTCTATCTACCATACGTGGTTGTTGAATTAGATATATGTATGAAAAATGTTTTGTAAACTATAAAGTGTTACTAACTCACAGAATAAAGATCATCCAACTATGCCCTGTGGGCTGGCCACCTGTTTCTAATAAATGAAGTTTTACTGGAACCCAGCTACACACATTCATTTACACACTGTCTATGACTGCTTTTGTGCAACAACTGCAGAGCTGAGTTGTGGCAGAGACCCGAGGGCCTGCAAATCCTAAAATATTTACTCCCTACCTCATTACAAAAAAAGTGTGCCAATACCTGCACCGGAATATAATTCCCCAAGGGCAGAGATTTTAGTCTGTTTTGTTTATTACTGCAACACTGGTACCTAAGTTGTGCACAGCACAGAACAGAATCTCAATAAAAACCTAAATATTTATTTTAAAATTCCTTCAGAGTAAGTATAATGGAATTAGTAAGACAAATGTTTCAGAATTTTGTGAACAAAGTAAATAAGAATGTGGATAAGAACAGCGGAAGCTCTTAGGAATTTTCTGAAAGTCTGTGGTAATATACCATTAACTGTAGTTATAATCTCAAACTGTATGATCATCACTGTCTCCTGGGTTATGGGGATATAATAAATATAGAGATGTGGTACCTGATCTCAAGAAGCTTCTAACAGTCTGAGGTATATGAGTAAAACTAACACATATCACAAAAATGTATAAAACCATGTCCTAATCAATTTAACATTCTAGGCCTTATTTTCTTCATCTACAAATAGAGTGAATTAAATTTGATGGTCTTTAAGACCTGTTCAGCTCTATGCTATTCATCATAATTACAGAACAATTACGTAACAAATGTGAAGCACAGAGAAACAGGAATGAGTATGATGACTGCCAAAGAGACTTCAAAAGATAAAGCAAATAAAACAGAAGATGCATGATGAGGGAACTGTTAATAAACATGGTACGGTGGGACTGAATAATGGAGAATATTAAAAGCCAAGCAAAGGAAGTTAAGAGTTGATTAGCTATCAAAATTATTTTAAATTTCTGAATACAGCAATGACACTGTGAAACAATAATAAATATCATTATTTCCTAAAGATTAATGGTATCCAGAATGCTTTGGAGAAAGAAAAGTCAGGTGAATCATCCAGAAGGTTGGGGCATCATTCAGGTAACCAGAGTTATGCTGAATTAATTTTTACTTAAAAAAAAAAATTTGAAAGGTTGAATATTTTACAGTGCAATCTTCACAATTAGCCAATGGATCCCAATTCATTCCCAGGGAATGAATTGGGAGCATCTATAGTAGATCTTTCAAAGGCTGTTTGTAGGCAGAAGAGTGGCAGATGTGCTTCATTCTGGTGAATGAATGGAAGGTAACAACGGAAAAATGAACAAATAACTATCAGGATAATGTGCTTTGTACTATGGATTTTGATCTAAAAAAGGAGGTGGAAAAAATTCACTCAAATTTTCCTCTAAAGGCATTAATTTAATGACTTATGTAGTTGCTTAAAGTGCAACAATTAACAGAAGGAAATGGTACTGGAAGCAAATCAGAAAAATTTTTCCATGCTTACAGAAAATCGCAATTACTCCCCATTTGGAAAATAATATAGTTTGGTCACTGCTTCTTATAGAAGACATAACACAGCTAAAATAAATGAGTCTCAGTAAAAAGTTATCATTCTTTCAGTTAAAAAAAACTTTATAAAAGACCCAGAGGTGACATAACTGAAGCGTACAAAACCATGGCATTCTTGCTTCAGGAAAAAAACACACTTGTTTATTTCATACCATTATACCAGGGACCACTGTTAACTCTTAAAACCTGAGAAAAAAGAAGATATGGATTACTTTTAACGGTGGCTATTCCACCCACAGAATACTTAACCTTAAGAGGAATCAGGGTTGCAGATAAATGTCTCTTCAAAAAGTTTTCAGAAGCTATGGAGAGATTATTAGAGAAACTAGAACACTTGGTGACACATCCCTACCTAACCTGTTGAGCTTCACATCACAGAGGACCAACTAAGCCAGCCCACAACACTTTCCTTCATGATGCTTTCTGAAAGAGAAAACTGGATGAACCATGGGTCTGACCCAGCATGGCATTTCTTATGTTCTTACTGCTGATGATGACAGATTTGACTGTAGTTCGTGTGTGAACATTATTTCTGAAATGGGTGAAAAAAATGAAAGATTTTACTATTGCTTTTCCCTATAGAATAGTTTGAAAACCGTGTCTATTTTAAGATATACTCTTCAGACTAGATAGCTATATCTAGTTCTACATCATTATGTTTGAATACTACCAATGAAAAAAAGAATTAACTATAAATTTAATAACATTATGTAGTTAGATAAAACTTGGAATACTGCTGCTATATATTAAACTCCATTCTAGCAATCACCAGCTTTGAATAATGGGGGATGAGGTACACTGTCTATTATCCCACGATTTCCAGGGGTCAATCAAACTTATTTATTCCCTTTTAGATTACTTTCCTTTGGGCTTTTGAGCACTTGATCTTCCAAGGAAGTAACCAGCGGATACACCTATAAATGAACATGACTAAGAAGCAGTCCAGTCTAGGAGTTTGAAGAGCACAAACAGACATTGTACAAGCACATCTTTTACAGGCAATTATTTGGCCAGCCTTAATAATATCTTTATTGGTACACACTGACCAAATCAAGTCACAGCTTTGATTGTTTTTATTCATAAACATTAGGGAATAGTCAAGGACAGTATTGCGTCCGTAACAATTCATCAGCATTTTAAAGCAATTCATGTGAGATAAAGGGTTCAATACTTTTTGTACTTAAGTAACAAATTGCCAGTCGTGGTGGTGCAATGTTTCACTTTAAAGCTAGACTGAATCAGATTAAGAGAATTTGGTGCATGCAGATTGGATTAGTTATTATGAGACATTTTGCATAAAGAGGAGATAAAATAACCCGTATCTGTGTCACTGGGAGGAAGCTAGAGTTGCATTACTAATTATTAAATATTACTTCTGTCAGAGGAAAAGATTCAGGAAAGCTAGGAAAAGAGAAGTCAGCACGTACATGTTCTTTCTTGCATAAAAAGCTTGTCACAAAACAAGATGCAATTTGACCTGACTTATTACATAACGATGTTCTTCCCTTTTATATTATCTATACTCAAATCTTGTGTTTGTTCTGAGATCAAAAGTAGAATAGACAAGAAAAAATACTAATTTCCCTTCCTCTTTAAAGGGCCTCTACTGGGCTTATGGCCCCACAGTTTTAGAAAAGATATTCTAGCTAGGGCTGGCTCCGTGGCTCACTCGGGTGAGTATGGTGTTGTTAGCGCTGAGGCCGCAGGTTCGGATCCTATATAGGGATGGCCTATACAGACCACACCGTGCCGAGGGTTATGATCCCCTCACCGGTCAAAAAAAAAAAAAGATATTCTATCCTCTATTCTCACTGCTTTCAAAGTATCATAACATGAAAATTGTATGTGCTTATTACCTAATGGAATAGAAAACATGCTTTCACAGCTGATCTGATTCATCTCCTCCTCAGGGATATCTAATAAAAACATACACTCTAATTAAAAATGTCTATGCCATGTGCCATATTCCAGGGGCAGGGCAGGGAAACTGCCTTTGCTACTGGAACTTTTGAATATTGTGTTCTCATTTCAATAATAATCTAATGTAAAACTGATAAAGCATTTTTAGAAAACCTTGAAATCTTATTTTAATGATATATTTGTTGTCTCAAATAAAACACTGTAAACACAGTTCATATTATAAGACACTGAGAAATCTAAAAGCCCTACACAGACATATCAATAGATGGTAAATTTAAAACAATGTAAATTCTTTGTAAAAGCAAGATTCTAAAAATCGTAATTCTCTCAAGAAAAATCTAGAAAAGCTTAGCAAAAAAATATATAGCTCTGAAGGAAAAAATTAACTCACGTTACACCAGGATGAAGATTATATTTCTTTTTTCCAAATCGCGTTTGCTGAGCAAAGAAATCATAACGTTCAGATTTTTTCCACATGTAATAGAATGCTACACATTCACCAACTGACCTTGTTCGGACCTATAAGAAATAAATGCTTGTTTTTAAGAATCATCTATTCTTAACAAAGTTATTTCATGAAAAACATCTGAAATTTGAAAATAAATTTAGATAGTCCTTAACTGATACATATAATACCATGTACAAAATATGACACTACAGTAGCTGCATTCAAAGCTATTCTTTCTAAACTTCCATTAAGGGGAGTAACACATTGGCAACAGGTCTTCAGATATTTAGAATTCTGCTTTTTAAAAGGCTACCATCATCCTAATCAGCTGTAAATATTCCTCTACTGGAAGCATCTGGAAGTGGCATTCAGATGAAAATGAATGTTATGAACAGTTTGCCAATACTTTTACTCACGGAGCACCTAGAGAGTCTACCTTTAAATTCCCTTTCAGAAGATTCTCTTACTAGTCCCAACAGTGATCCAGACTCAGTTAATATACTTTCTAGAAAGTCTGAGAATATGCCACAGTGAGTGGAAAGCTAATATAATAATGTTAATGCTTTGCTTACTAAGTTACTCCTGTGGCTTACTGTGCTGTACCTATTTGTGTAAATGAATGGCTCCCCTCACATAATGTTCAACACCTATGGGATTAACAAATAAAGCTGACAACATCCTTTTTGCTACTGCTAACTCTGGCAATGGTACTTCACTGAAGTCAAAAAATGAAAATAACATTTTGGGGCATGCAAAATTAATATTATAAAAAATCGTCAATAAAATAAGCCCTCATAATAGAACTTATGATTGAGATCTGAACTTTAATTCCAGGTGTAAAAACAGTCTCAATGTTTCCACTGGACCATTGTTCTGCCACTTAATGAATTACTGTCTTCCCTTTATTCACTGGAACAACTAGTATATTACATATAGGTCAACTGTTCTCTATCCTATAACATTAAAATATCACGATCCCAATTATTTATAATAAAGAAATCAAGGTCTTATTTTTAAGACTTTTTTGGCTTATAGTTTCAAGTCACCTAATAAGTTCTAGTTCCTTAAAAAAAAATCATATTGGTAGCGGTTGTTGATGCTGCTAGTTACATCAGCTATCATTCCATGGGCTCCCTCTACAGATAATCCAGATGGCTTGGTTAACAGTGTTTGAATTCAAGCAAGAATGCTAGAAAACTCTTATTCAAACTGCGGTCCCTTTCAACCATAAAATGATTTTTTAAAAAACATCAGAAACATATATTGCCAGTCAGTAGCATACATAACGCACTCCTTTCTTTGAGTGCTGACTATGTTTGAAGTTATCAGATGATTGGACACGACATTAGGGGTATATGCTTTTGTCACCAATTACATTGTCTTCTAAGTTATGCTAAATGATAATATGCAAAATTTCTTTTATTAGTTATGTCCAATGTCAATTACCAAAATGCAACGAGATAATTAAGAATGAACTAGTTAATGCACAACAAAATTAAGAAAAATGAACTCACATGATTTGTAAGCAACTATTTATTGAACATAAACTAAAAATAGGTATTAAAACAAATCAACTGGACACCATCCAATCACATCCAGAAGTATAAAAAAGAGGAATGTGGAGAAAGATTATTTAGAGCCTCAGACATAAGCTCAGATACTTTCAAAATAGTCCTGGACAAGCTACCACACAAAACTTAGAAGTTTCCTTTAAGGAAATACATAAAGATCAGCCCCTTGTCTTTACTAAACTTAAGTAACTTTCTATATTAAAGCTCTGAGACTTTAATTTGCCTGTTCTAATCTCCCACAGGAACAACACATCTTTGTATTCTATATAATTGTATAGTTACTATTAAAAACCTTACCTGATTTCAGTCGCAAGAATTAAATCCCAAAACAAATATGCAAGTAATTACAAAGTTCTTCAGAGTATACAGTGTATGACTGATGTTATCAATATGGAAAATTGTCATGTTAAATAAAATTGTAAAATTATAACGGCTATAATATTATATAAGAAAGCCGATATGTTCAGATAAATGCTTCTGAAAAATTGAATTAAATCTTGATTACAACCAAATTAAACCTTAAGTATCTAATTTTAAGCTACTCAGGACATAAGCAGATATAATAAATATTTTAATTATAAATAATCTCACATTAAAAATGCTTTAAAGTCTCAAAATTATTTTAAAGCCCCTCCTTAAAATACCTTATCACAAATAGTGGAAAACAGCTATAAATAATTGCATTACACAGGTACATAACCCCACCCACCCAGAAGTTGATTACTCTACGTATAAATGAGTCCAATTCTTAAACACTTCCAGTATCGTGCACTGAAAACAGTCACCCAGCAAATTTATGTCAGGCATGCTTATTATAATAATTTGCTAAATGCCAAATATAATATTCATTATAGAACCTTTAACACAAGAAAATATAGCGAAGATGTACAATAATTTGGATTGTTAAACCAAATGTCTTTTTGTAAGAAAGAGAACATATATCATTACTTACTTTATTAGCCTGAATCAAATGAAAATCCTTTCCATAGGCCTTCAGTCCTTGTTCAAAATTTCTACACTCTTCCTCTGTCCAAACAGATAATTCCTCTGACAAAACAAGGGGAAAAATTGTTAAACAATATTCCCCTGAAATGTTGCATATGACAAACAAAACATTGAGATCTGAACTTTAATTCCAGGTGTAAAAACAGTCTCAATGTTTCCACTGGACCATTGTTCTGCCACTTAATGAATTACCTGCTGTACGGCCAAGTAAAAACTCCTGATTTAGTAAGATTTTGAATGATTTGGTACCTACCTCTCCAGCCTCAACTTGGGCCACCTTCTCCTTAATTCTTCATGATCCAACTATATTAGTCACCTTTCAACTTCTTAAATTCACTATATTCTTTTTTACCTCACACTTTGTGCATGGTGTCCCCTCTGGCTAGAATTATTTCCTGCCCCCTACCGCACCCCCTTTCACTGAGATAATTCTTTTATATCTCAACAAAAAAACACTTAGTCTGGAAGCTTTCCCTAAAAACCCCACCCTCTCCCCCTACTATGTTAAATCCCACTTCAATAGGTTTCAATAGCACCCACTTTAGTTCTTCTTGGAAGAATTTCTAACTATTTTTCAGCTTCCCTATCTAGACTCTAAGCAACATGAGGGCAGGAATTTTGTTCATAGTTATATGTTCAAAACTTAGGAGTCCCTCAAATTTTTGTTGAATGAATAAACACCTCATTTGTAACTTAATTATATATAAAATAAACAGTACTCTTAGTGAAGCTGGATGGAGGCCAGATTTAAGTTCAAAAACAAACTTTTGTTGAATGAATAAACACCTCATTTGTAACTTAATTATGTATAAAATAAACAGTACTCTTAGTGAAGCTGGATGGAGGCCAGATTTAAGTTCAAAAACAAAAACAGAGAATAACCCTGGATTTAGTTATAGCTTCATTGTTTATGAATTGTTTGCCTTAGCCAAGCTTAGTTCAGAGACACCAGTCTCATCAATTTTTCACTTAGCTCATAGGGCTATTAACATGATCAAGTAAGAATATATTTAAAAACATGCTTTGAAATTGTAATTGCAAAATACATAATTGTATTTTTATATTTTTACTTAAATGGGCTTACTTTCCCATAAAGAAAGGAATAGACTTAATCTTATTTCTCATAATGCCTTGTATAACACTTCTGTTCAGCTAATATTTACTGAATTCAAAAAGATGAGAATTATTAAGCTTAGGATAGAATATATCTAGGTAAACTGAAGAGCTTAATTTTTAAATTTGTATCAAATGATGAAAACAAAAACTTAATATTTATGCTTACCTCTAGCTGCTTTCACATTAAATCTTAATCTTCTCAATGCCTCTTCTGTATCAAAACTGCATTTAACTAATTCATATAAAGCCTAGAAAAATAAAAGGCTTCAATATTTGACCCAGACACTGAACAGTTCCATACTATAATTTCTTAAAAGTAAAAATTTTTCCAGAATCCAGTGTTTATTTTCATTCTTTCTGGAGGGCAAATAATTTTAGTGAATAAAACATATAGAACACTACACTAAGGAAAAACAAATATAAATTTAACCCTGATAATTAACTACCTCTAAATATGTACAAAATAGTATATGTAAACATTCTAACTAGGTGGCCCTAGTAACCTAGGAATTTAGAAATAAAAAGATTGTAAACCACAATCCTTTCTTTGTGGCTTTTTGAGATTCCTATTATAAAATCATTTTAAACTAATCAGAAAAGAAAAACAATGATAAAAAAAGGTAAAAAAGATAATGCTGTTATACAGTGGTACTTCAAAAAGTTCATGGAAAAATAGAATTAAGATAATACAAATTGTTCCATGACCTTTTTGAAGTACCCTCATATTAGGTTCGTGGTAGGCACCGGTCTTATAGTGTACATGATAATCTTATCCCAGATGAGCATGCCAACTTGATGATATTCAGATTCTCAGGCATAGCCAAAGGAATTTTTAAAAACCTAATAAAAAGTACATACAGGCTAAATAAAACATCAAGATTTTTGTTTTTTTATTTGAGTTTTAATCACACCAATGAAGCGAATGTGGTAACAAATGGTATCTTACACCGATTATAACCTCAGTCAGATTCCCTGTGAATAACATTACAGGAATTTTGGTGGACACAATAACAACACTGAAAGTGGCAGCATTTACATCTATAAATGTGTATGGTTAACTTATTTTTGGAAAATTCTTATAGTTGTTTCTGATTGATGTACCTGTTCGTTGTCTTTTATGTGAGATCCTTCAGGAATTGCTTCTACACCTTTCTCATCACCTGTTCTTCTAGATGCATCCTTAAGAAATACAACCACCTTATCTTCTGGTAAGTACTCAGGATCCCATAGGAGTTGATCATCATTTTCATATACTAAATTAGTAAAACATAATGTTAAAAAAATTGCCAAAAATTGATAGAGTTTGTGTTAAAACATATCACTGAACAAAAACTCATACTTAGAGCCAAATGTTGAGAACTGAGAAGTGTTGTTCTACTACTTGCTTGACTTCTTTCTTGAGCAATATTTATAGCCTAAGTGAATTAAGCAATCTAAACAGAAAGCAGGTACCACTTTATGCCTCCTTCATATCCAATCTTACTTACATTGAGTTCACCAAATTCCAAGTTCGCTTGGTTTGAATACCACTTCTACCACTTACTACCTGTAAGACCTTGGGCAGGTTACTCCTCTTTCTCCACCTCATCTATGCAATGGGGATAACATTAACTCTACCACATGAAGTTGTAGAGATTTAAAGTACTTTAAAACAGTTCTGGCACATATTGAGGTTCAATGGATATCAGCTCCAATTATTATTTTTGAAAAGATGTCTAGAAGAACGCTCACCAAATGTTAACACTCATTTCTTGGTGGTGAAATTTGGGGCAATTTTTAAATTTTCTTTATATTTTTCTATGATGCTATAAATCTTTTTCATAAAAATAACTCATTAGTTTTTTTTAAAAGCATTTAAATTTTATCACAATTTTTATTATAATAAAATTAAAGCCTAAATCTCACAAAAAATTAAAAAGTGAATGTAAAGATGACCTGAGACATAGTCTTGTGGAATTCTAAATGACAGGAAGATGAAAACATAGATAAAATTAGAAGAAATACCAATTTTACAAGAGTGTAGCATTATAGCAGCTAAGAAAAAGAAGTGTTTTAAGCAGTAGTTTCAAAGGCTAGTTAAATGCTGTTGAGTGACCAAAATGAAAACTGAAAAAGGTATGCTGGATTTACTGACAAGGAGATGAATGCTGTGAGAACTGTTTCTGTTGAAAGCAGAAGCCACATTGGAGAGGACTCAAGAGTAAAGGAAAGTGAAGAAATAAAGTAGAAAACTTCTGAAAAGTTTGGTTGTAAGGGTGAAGACAGGGCAGTAACTAGAATGCATGGAGAGTTGAAGAAAGTTTTTGTGTTGTTTTTGTTAGTCTTTAGGTAGGAGACAAAACTGTAATAGGAAGGAGCTAGCTTGAGAAAGACTTCAAGAGACAAAGGATAACTGACAGGGTCAAAGTTCCTTGTAGTATGAAAAGGAATTAACATTAATTAAGCATCTCCTACATACTAGGAAACACATTAAGCATTTTTACAGAAATTATCTTGTCTCCCCACTCACACACATACAGTTCAAAACCTTCTTCTACCTTTTTGTTTCCCAAAATAAATACTCTAAAAGTATAGCCTGAAAGAAAACATCTAGACATTTTTCCTTAAGATATGTCCGTAATTCCTTTTCTAACCTGCTGGTAAAATCCTAGTTAAGCTCTAAATTGTAAACATGATAAAACTCCCACGATAAAGTGATTTTGGATGTACTGCTATTGATTTCTGTTCTCTGCTCAGCCTCTGTTCTCCAAAGGGAGAAGACTACAGTTCTTACATTCTTGGGGTGGTGGCTGAGCCATATAAGAAAACCCTGGACTCAGGAGGAGGAAGGTGAAGGGTGGGTCACTGAATCTCAAGTGTTCTCCCACTTAGGTTTATGAAATAAGCACGAACTACCTGAGATATTTCTGGAATCACTGCAAATATTCTGGAAGTCCCAGGCAGCCATAGGATACAGAGATGTCCTTAAGTAAGCCAACTAGACAACCATCACCAGATGGCGCCAAATGACAAGTCAGACCCCTGACTGTGGGCTAGACAGGCTAGCCCTGATTATTTCATTAACCTCAGAATAACAGAACACTTCATTTTATGCAATTATAATATATTCAATAATGACTAGGCGGTGAGAACAATTAGCACCTCAATACAGAATAAGCTATACTACCTTTACTGGTTCCAGACACAGAACAAATTATTTACCAGTTAAGTTTACACTCTAAATAAAATATGTAACTTCTGACTATAATCTAAATAAAATAAACAGTTGTTTTTTAATTAAATGTCTGTTACGGAATGACTAAAATGCCAAAGAGGATAAGAAATTCAGAAGAACTTCACTATCATCATAAAACACAAAAACAAAAGAAAAATAAAGTCTATATATACAATATTTAGGGATAAACCCTGTAACAGCAATAAAGAAAAAAATTACTCTTTACTGTAATTAAGTGGCACGAACATGCTGAATGTTGAAAAATCACAATCACTGAAATGTAATGGAATCTTCTGTAACTATTTCATTCTAACTCAATAACTAACCCTAAGCGCAGACGGGGATATGTTCTGAGAAATGAGTCTGGATATTTTGTTGTTGTGCAAACATCATAGGGTATACTTACACAAACCTAGAGAGTAGAGCCTACTATATACCTAGGCTTATATATGATACATACATTATAATCTTATGAATCACTGTATATGTGATCCATTATTGACCAAAACGTTTCGTGGCACATGACTGTATTAGAACTTTAAAAAAGCAACCACAAATATATCCACCTCATATTACTGGAAGACATAATTTGTATGTGATTATAAATGAGTAACAGAGTTCAGAAAGCAGTTCACTAGTATATTAACACAGGTTAGTTGATGAAGCGCTTCTTATGGTGTCTTGTTAAAGCATAGATTCTGACTCAGCATGTGTGAGATAGGGCCCAGATTCTGCATTTCTTACTAATTAATTCACAGCTGAATCTGGATACTGGTCTCTGGACAGCACTTTAAGTAGTAAGGCACTGATAATATATATCTCATTTCAGCTACATTATCATCCTAAATACAATTAGAAAAACCAAAAGTAATCAATTAAACTCATCAATTGTCAAAATAATTTCACAAAGTCCACTGTGTTTGTGTGATGGTAGTGGGGGGTGGGGGGGTTGCATGAGAGAAGCTGGAGAGGATTACTATGCATTCTGACAAGAAAAAGAAAAAAAAAAACTGATGTAAAAAGCTGAGAGATCACTATCACAAAACCATAAACAAAGTTCCACAATCTGGGAAATTAATTTTCAATGAATAAATGTCTATTTATTAACTACCAATTTTATTAAAAGAAGTGTTATTCCATTTTTAATGCCTAAGTAAAAACTCTAATCAATACAGCATAAGGATGAGCATGTTGATCTGTAATCAGCACTATGGTGTACTAATGGGGTTTACAACAGAAATCGCCATATTCTCAAAAGGTCACTATGATTAATGACATGACCATTAAGTTTTATAGCTGAGTTTTTCCTACACATAGGTTAAATGAACTGCCTGTTTCAACTATGAATATTGCATTTGTTCATTTTCCAGTAAGTTATTTAATAATTAAAAATAATTTGCCAAATTTTCATTAGAAACAATTTACACAGTCCTTTGCTATTCACTGCTTAGTAATTTCTAGTCATCTAAAATTTGTCATGAAAGTATAAAAATTTGACTGGGAATACAGTTAATTGCTCCTTCCCCTTGACCTTTTTCTTTTTTTTCTGAGATAGCCCATTTAATTCTCAATTTATCTAGTCTAGGGTTCTCAACCTTGACACTACTGACATTTTTGGCCAGATAATTCTTAGTGGTGGGGAGCTGTCCTGTGCATTGTACATGTTTATCAGCATTCCTTATCTAGTCTTACAACAAAACCAGTGTTTACTCAGTTTAGTACATGGGAAAAACAATAAAACACATGCATAACTTTCAAAATCACCTTAGAAAGAAGTACAATGCTTTACATCTGCCCCACATCTCCATGGGAAGTAAGCCCTTTCTCATATGGTCTGGATGGGACTGCCAGTACCCACTGGAGTCCCAGGAATAGATAAATGACCCAGGGCAAGCCACAGTACTCACTCATCTATCTGGTCACAGTAATTACTTCTAGCTGGGTATGTGACACAAGCTCAGTCAATAGGGGCTCTTTTCAGGACTTTTGCTGGAGCTCTGGGAAATGGGGAAATCATATTGGTTGGTTCTTTAGCTATAAGGACAGTGTAAAGCACAAGCCAAGAGCTCTCAGTATCCATCTAAAATTGTCTGACAATAAAGGAAAGAGAGAAGGAAGGAACATTTGATATCCTAAAAGAGTCCCTGAATATAGTTACACAAGAGTACTACTTCAAAAAGATCATGGAAAAACAGTATTAGAAGATAATATGAGGGCTGACCCTGTGGCTCACTTGGGAGAGTGCGGCGCTGGGAGCGCAGAGGCACTCCCGCCGCGGGTTCAGATCCTATATAGGGATGGCTGGTGCACTCACTGGCTGAGGGTGGTGCAGATGACACCAAGACAAGGGTTAAGATCCCCTTACCGGTCACACACACACACAAAAAGAACAACAACAACAAAAAGAAGATAATATGAATCTGTCCATGAACTTTTTGAAGTACCCGCATATTTGAATCCAGACCAATACAGATCTCTCCAGTAAAGCAATCCAGTAAACTCTTTTTTCCTTAAGCTAACTGTATTGGGTCCTGCAAGCAAAAGGGCATCAACTGATTTTTTTCTGAAAATTTGATCAATAAAACCTAAATAGACAAGATTAAGCATCTATTGAATATTAATGTCACTTATTAAGCACTGTGTACCAGACACTATCCTACTAAGTGCTATACATAAAAATACCACATGTAATCCTCATAACAGCTCTGTAAACCCTATTATTATTATTTTATCGATGAGGAGAAAAAGTTTAATGCAAGGCCAAATGCCTATGTAATGATCCAAATTCACTGACTCCACATTAGTTCTGTTAACACTCTTCTGTAACCACCTAGTAAACATTTGGCGCCTGAGTTAATAAGTACCTATTTGACAAAGATAGATCTAATTAGTATTAAGAATATAAAGATGAATATATAATACAATGTGTTAAGTATGTGATAATTTATATGAATTTCAGAAAATGTTAATAAATGTATATGGCTAAGGAGAGTTTTTAATAACCAAGAGAGACAGAGGTTCAAAGGAGCTTGACTGTAACTAACAAATCTTTTTCAATTATTTGAAGTAGGAGTGATAACCAATGAGAAATATATAATCTGCACAGAGCCCAGTTAAAAAAAAAAAAAAAAGGTGGCAGAGAAAAAATTTTGTCAATGTCCCTCCAGGATACTTAGTAAGGATGTTTCCATATATCAATGAAAAGGAGAATTCTGATCCATCTGTCAAATTATCCCTCCAATAAAGATCAAGATATCTTAGTTTTACGGCACTTTTGCTCACCAAACCAATAAAAAATACCCTGTGAAATTTTTTCCATAAGAATGCACTAATCACCATTATTCCTTTAACAAGATTTATTTTCTAACAATATGGCTTACATAACAGTTTCATGAGTTTGGTTTCTGTACACAAGGTACCCTAAGTAAAGATAAATTTTGGGCATCCTGACAAAAGTTTGAATTTCTAGAACTGTGAGGCTGAGGAAAGGCCCTGTACCACAGTGACCCCTCCAAAGCAATGTCACTCTGCTAAGTCTAATCCGATCCTCCCTACACAATCTAACATGCTTAAATTCTCAATAAAGCTTCATAAATCATACTGCTTCCTGAAAAAAACTACCTATAACTGCTTTCTAAAATCATATTAAAATTGAAAACATTAAGCCAGAATTAAAAACATTAAAAATTAGATTGTGATCACTTATATACTGTGACACTTGGTAATACAAACATGAATATAAAAGAAAAAATACGAGCATTAAGAGATAATTAAAATTACTTTCAGCAGTAATATTCATTTGCTGAGGAAATATTCATAAAACTGAGAAGTGTTTCCTACCCATCTACTATATACGAAAATTTCTTTTCTTTTTTTTTTTTTGTCTTTTTTCGTGACCGGCAACGGATCGCAACCCTCAGTGTCGCACCCGTACTGGACCGGGACCGGCAATGGGATTGCAACACTCGGCATTGCGCCCGCACCTCGCTCAGCCAGTGAGCGGGAACCGGTCTGTATGTGGGATCCGAATCCTCGGCGGGAGCGCCGCCGCGGCGCTTCCCAAGCGGCGCACTGTAGCAGTGCGCCACCGGGCCGGCCCCTATATACGAAAATTTCAAAGACAGGTACTACTATATTTCACAGCCAAAATTTAAAAGAAGTTTAATTAAAAAGGAACAAATGTCATTTATTTGTAGAAGAACTCAATGGTGAACATGTGTTCACCATTATATAAGTATAATATTTAAATTTCAATTATAAAGATAAATACAAAAGCCAATGGATTTGTTTTTGCACACAATTACAATATGTTCACAGAACATATATACAGAATTTCAATATATAACAAGGTCATTCCATATTGATACCTTTAATGTTATAGAGATATTACAGAAATTAACTTGAAAAGTGAGTGCAAGCTGTTAAACATTTAAAATTTTTTTAAATATGTGTTAAAATATTTTTGCTGTCACAAAAATGTACTGGCCTGTGGTGTTCCCTGGACTGCTTCTGACCTGCTGCTTGCCCTGAGAGAAAGTGCACACTTAGATTATAAAGTAAGTTTTTGGAGGGAATGCTAAAAAGAAAACAAACAACAAAAGACTTCTACAACGCCAAAGGGCTCTGCATAAGTAACATTAAAATGTGGAGAAGAAAACAAAGAAAAGAAATGAAGAAAGATCTCTAGCTCTGAGTGATGTCACACTGCACATAAACTCATTAAAAACACACATACATAAGCATTCTTTCTGGAACCCACTCAAAGGAATAATCTGAAATAGGCTCCTCTAAAAAAAAATCCTCAAGTATTTCATGTTATTGAAAGTATGACTTATTTTAATATTTTTAGATAAAATGATTAAAAAAATCATGTGAAATTTAAGAATACATGTTATATTCCCAAATTATTTTGAAAACACAAGTGTCAAAGTACTCCATTTTAGTAAGTAATATTCAAAGTTTCAGAAGCTAATAAGCTTTTTAAATAGATGTTTACTCTCTATTTTGTTTTTAAATCTGTGTTTCATTGACATAAAATAATCTGCTTTTAACAACTAAATTATAATGGTCAGAAAAGGGTAAAAGTTCAAAACATCTAAAATAGCGGGGAAAAAGGAACAAATGATTGGGATGTTTCAAGTTACTTAAAAACAAAAGCATTCACTTTTTGTTGCTTTTGCTAGGTTTCTATGGACAAAACTGGAGAAAGAGTAAACATATTTCTTCTTACAGAAATAAGGCAGAGTTCTCTTTCATAAACCAATTGTGTTACTTAGGAACCTGTCATGTTCTTATCACACTTACATACAAAGTAACAGTTCATTACTTCAAAGGCATAAATCCAGCTATGTAACTTTACGAATAACCTACCTTTTTCATTTTCTCTGTATCTACAAATGCCAACTGGAATCTCTGCTTGAAACATGGAGCCCACCATAATCTCCTGTTTTAAAAATATCATAAAACATTAGTAAGATCTAGTAACAAAGATTTTATACCCATTTTCTAGCTTCACCATCTTCTTGGTAAACATTTCCTGGTTTTTCTGTCATAAAATACAGATACAACCAATTAGCTACCTCAGAGGACTATTGTGAGGATGAATGACTTAATAATAGATAAGAGTTTGGGTATGATTGGATGAAAATATTAGTAATAATAATGGGGTGAAATGCAATGTAGACAATGAATACAAAACTTTACTTCAAAATATGGGAAAAAAAAGTGAACTGTGATAATTCAATTAATAAGATAACTACAAAACGTCCTGAAAAATAAAGTCAAATTCAGAGAATGTACACTAAGACAGTGGTCTCAAAATATGGTCCCTGAATCAGCATCATCAGTGTCACCTGGGAAGTTGTTAGAAATGCAAATGCTCAGGTCCCACTACCGACCTACTGAATCAGAAACTCTGGGGGTAGGACTCAGTAATTAGTATCTTAACAAGCTCTCTAGGTGATTCTAACACACGCTTAAGTCTGAGAAGCAGAGCTTTAAGGTAAGGGAAATAAAAAGCTCAATAGGGGCCAGAAGGATAAGCAAGTTACTGCTTGACTTTCATTAAAATAATACAAAATGAAAAGTAACACTTCCTCAAACATAAAATCTAATTATCGTCAAATCACAGATTAAGTGAAACTGAAGGAAATCTGGTAATCAAATCTATATCGTCAAATCACAGATTAAGTGAAACTGACTCTTCAGAAAGGCAACTGGAAACCACCACCGATGAAATTTCACAACACATGGGGACCAAGATTACACCAGACCCTTTTGTCTGGTGGCTAAATGTTAAGAACAAATTTACTGGCATTTTCAAAATGAAGACTTGAGCAAAACAGTATAAAATCATGGTCTAGGAAGTTTAGATAACTCAGGATTTGAAAAGTTCCTCTCTCCTGTTATTGTTACCCCACTGATGTTAGGATATGATTTTATCTACTATAACTTTAAAGATAAGCTGTATGTAATAAAGTTATTGCTGTACAGAAAAACCAGTCTTTCTCATGATGGGTTTTCTAAAAAAAATATCACATACAAGTTTTCTTCACTTTATATAGGAATTCTCTTTATGTCTTCCACTATAAAGAGTCCTCTATTGTTACTCCTTGTGCCTCTTTTTACACTACTCACCTTTGCCTACCAAAGAATAGATATTCAACCCTGGCTGGGGTGCTTCTAAAAATATCAATGCCTGGACCTATTCCAGACCAATTTAGAATCTACAGATGAAGGCCTTGATAATGAGTATTTAAAAGTTCTCCAGGTGATTCTAACATGAAGCCATGATTGAGAACTTCTGAACCAGCATAAAGATAAGAAACTTCCTTTTTCCAATTAAGTTCAAAACACTTCTTTTCACCTCCTAATTTGTTCTGTAGTGTAGGGAAGGAAAGGGAAATTCACTTAGAATCATTACGTGCTAGGTATCTAATATATAATTTTCATTTCGTATTCACCAAGCCCCATAAGGCTGACATTGTTGTTCCCATATTATATGTGAACAGATGAAGCTCAGAAAAAGCAACTTCCTCAGAAACACATAATTAGTAAGTTCTAAAACTATAACTTAAATTCAGGCTTGACTTCAACACTATTTCCCCTACCCTAGTTTCTATAAAAATCCAATTTTATCTTATAAGCCTTAAAAAAAGTGAATCTCTAAATCTTGACAATGATTTACTACAATGAAATCACAATGAAAGAAAACAATCTGGAGTTACTGTGGGCTGCTTTACTTAAGTTTTCCTGAGGAAGAGACTAATACTTCCCAGAAATGAAGGTTTCACCTCCCCCATGTTCTCTCCTTCCTCTGAGCTTTTGTTCATTCATTAAAAAAAAAAAAAAAAGTGCTGAATGCTTAATCAAATAATCTACTGGACATTACAGATATGAAGACGATGTATGCTGGAGAAAAAGATATATAAATTTGGATTATCGTAGAAAATAGCAATTTAATAGGATTCCCAAGTTTTCTAGTTCTTTTCATCTTTTTCTGTATGGTGTAGGAATCAGATTAAAAACTGGATTAAAGAACACTTGCCCAAACAGGTCACATAAAGAGTAAGTAACTTTTGTGATTCTTGTTTTCTGTCTTCAGTCCCATCTCTCAAATTAAGTAACACGTACTACACACTGGGCTAATTATTCCTTACCATTCTAACCCACGTTTATGTCTCTTTCTTCTAACTACTATAGCTTTGTGTTGGCTTCATTCAATTTAACATTTAATAATGCATTTACTTATGTTATGCAGCTGACCCTTGAACAACATGAATTTGAACTACGTGGGTCCACTTACATGCAAATTTTTTTCAACAAATATACTAAAAATTTTTCTCTTCCTTATAATTTTAATATTTTTTATTTTTTTAATATTTTCTTTTCTGTAGCTTACTTTATTTTAAGCATACAGTATATAATACATATAATATACAAATTATGTGTTAATATATGTTAATTGTATATCAGTAAGGATTCTGGTTCACAGTAGGCTATTAGTACATTTTTGGGGGAGTCAAAAGTTATATGCAAATTTCAAGTGCACAGGAGTTGGCATCCCAAACCCCCACACTGTTCAAGGGTCAGCAGTACTTATATTACTTCTTTCAAGGAACATCCCTCCACTTCTGCAGCAAAAACATAAGCTTCTGGAGAAATGCACCTCCTGTCTCTTAATAGCTATGTAAACAAGTTATTCAGTCACTGAATGCAGAAAACTATGTCTCCCCAACTCTAGACTCCAGTCACTAATTATTAAAAATTATATGGCTTCTCTATACCTTTGCTAGGGGGCACACTGCTTATCTATGAGAAACATCCCTTTGGAAACCCAAAAATAGATAAATTTTGGCTGAAGCTTGGAATCCTTAGGTAGTCCAGTCCAAGTTCATATGAATATTTCATTCTTCCTAACAGATAAACTTTAGATATGAGATGTTCCCTTATTTTAATCAGCAAGAGGGTCAGCTCTTTTTTAAGTTTGCCTTGGGCATCCTAACGCAGACCACTTTAAACCAACTAACAAAAACAACAAATAAAAAACCATGAAGAAGGCTCAAAAGTATTAACTAATTAAACAAACAATCTTGACTTCAGAAGTATAAAAAGTCCACTCAATTCGGTGTTTTGGGCTATACCGCTCCAAAGCAATAATTGTTACGCACTAAATTTAAAGTGAGACCTACATCATTTCTTCTATATGAAGAAATAAAAAAATGTAATTTGTTTTAATCAATTCTACATAACATTTTGCTAGATATTCCTAAGAGGGCAACTCCTTTGCAAAAACTTACAATTAATTCTTCAATTTAACTGTATGATACAACACTATATAATTTTATAATTGGAAAACTACTGTCAATATATTATCTTTAGATTCAACTTAGAAATTAACTTATTTAATTTTTTTCTTTTTTTTGGCAGCTGGCTGTTTCAGGTATCTGAACCCTTGACCCTGGTGTTATTAACACCACGCTTGAACCAACTGATCTAACTGGCCAGCCCTACTTATTGAATTAAGTGTAGTTATAGAAAGGCCAAATCTGTCTTTTCACAAATATGCTTACCAGTTATAAATATCAACATGAAACTCAACTGTTCTAATAGTTTTCCCTTTATAAAGAAATTTGGGATGAAAAACTTGCAATTTAAACAATAAACAAAATTTACTTAACAAATGTCAGAGCCTCTGCAACTGCTTTCCAAAATAAAAAATCACATGTGATATTCTTTAGAGGGCAACAAAAGTCTCATTCAGAACTAGTTCAGGACTAGATCAAAAATCTGGATTTCTAATCTTGGTTTGAGTACTGGATTGCTTAATATAGTCCAATTCTTTCCAAACTGTCACTTTATTTTAGAAAAAGATAAATATATCTCTTACCTGGAATATTAGGGAGGAATTAAAACATTTACCAAATGCTTAAATGTCACAAAAGGGCTTACATTAACTTTTATCAATATACATAATTAGTAAAAGAATAATTATACTTGGATTTTTTTTTTACATTAACTTATCTAAGTTTTGGAAAAATATGGTTCTAACCTACCTTTTTCCAGTCTTCTGATGGAATATAATCTTCATCTTCTTCGGATTCTTCTTCTATTTCACTATCTGGAATAAATAAGACAACAGTACTATAAAATGATTGCTTATCCTGCCAATATCTATAACTGTATATTGTTTTCACGTCTACCATCAAATACTTGGACATTCCCAAAGGTATCTGGTTGAGTTAGGCCAAGATATTTCTAATCAAATGATCAATACCCTATCACAAAAACAAAAACAAAACAAAAACCAATAAACAAAAAACCATTCTTGGACAACAAAAGTCTAATTGAGCACTAGTTCAGGACTAGGTCAGAAATTTGAATTTCTAATCTTGGTTTGACTCACTCAACAAAATCCAATTATTTCCATGCCATCATTTTATTTTATAAAAAGATAAATATATCTCTCACCTGTATTAAGGGGAAATTTCAAAATTTACTAAGTACTTAAATGTCACAAAAGGGCTTACATTAACTTTATCAATATACACAGTTAATAAAAGAATAATTACACACGAAGAATTATATTCTCATGAAATGATTTCCTACAAAAACTTCAAGGGAAAAAAATGATATAGAAACATTTTAGACTTGTTTCTAATCCTTATTCTGCCACCAACAGCCTGGTGACAGAATAAGTTACATGATCTCGATTTCTTCACTTATAAAATGAGGGCTTAGACAAAACACTGATTTCCAAATAGTGCTCCTTGGAATACTGGGAATTTTGTAGCATCACTTCAGGAGGAGCATGTGAAGGGAGGGTATATATAAAGACCTCCCTTCTCTCCAATCTCCATTTTATTCAGAGAACTCAAGCTATTGTTTGTTTACACTTTGGAATAAGACTGTATTACATAACGGGGTGGGAAGTCTGAAAACTATTAGATTGTTAGTGCCTCTAAAATCTAAAATGACACACGAAGTTTAAAAGAACATTACATACAGAAATAAAAGCAAAAGAATTTTTTAGAAGTTGGTACATATTGGGCCGGCCCAGTGGCGCACTGGAGAGTGCACTGCTTGGGAGCGCAGCGGCGCTCCCGCCGAGGGTTCGGATCCCATGTGGAGACCGGTTCCCGCTCACTGGCTGAGCGCGGTGCGGGCGCAACACCGAGGGTTGCGATCCCGTTGCCGGTCCCCGGTACGGGCGCGACACCGAGGGTTGCGATCCCGTTACCGGTCAGTAAAAAAAGGAAAAAAAAAAAAAAAGAAGTTGGTACATATTATTTAGAATAAGCACTGAAAAGAATGACAGACTAAACCATTAACTCTCAGGAGTGAATTACAGGGGATTTTCAATTTTTATATCACATATTTCTATAACAACTTAATGTTTAACATTTACATGTATTACTTCTAAAATCAGAAAGAGTAAAGATTATAAAAATAGGTAATCAAAATTAACATATTCAGAAATTATAACTTCAGCAAGAATAAAGACCACAATCTTAAGCATATATATATGTAAACTTACTTTATTTTCCTCACTAATTCTACCTATGGAAAAGCTAAGATAGGTTGTATATGTATAGCCTCCACACATACATCACAACTGAAATACCAGATTAGAAGTATGAAAAAAAATATTGTTTCAAGAAATGTAGTAATCAGCACCTCACATTTAAGCAAACTTTAGGAATGGATCTGCTCTTCATTCAACTAAAGGGAAAAACACCAACACATTTTCCCCAAACTTAAAATTACCACAATTATTTCAGTAACTAATCTCTCCTTACAAGTAACACACTTTTCACTTGGACTAGATCTTTGATCAAACTCACAATTATTTTTATTATGCAAAAATTATTATTAGAAGTACTAGTCACTCTTAAATCAAATGAGTAACAAATCATTATATATAGCAGTAGCTATGTTCAATCAGTTATTACCTTACTAAATTTCATGAAACATTATTTTTCTTCAAGTGTTTCTCTTCCTTTTAAAGTATAAGAAATTTAGATCACAAATTAAAACTGCTAACACTGGTAATGACTTGTTTTTACCAAAGAGCTGTCTTCTAAAAAAATAATTCATACTTAGAATAAAACATGATGGAGCGTGTGAAACATGCAAATATTTAAAATACATACATTAAATGTTGCTTTAACTACTGGCCATCTTTAATTAGACAATAACTCTAGAAAAATTTGGGGAGTTCCTTCTATTTTAATATATTCCTACCTCAAGAGTCAACCATTTCTTTAGACCTGGGAGCCTCTAGTAAGAGAAAACAATGCTTATGAATATACCTAAAAAAGGCTAAGAGGCAAAGAAAGCAGAAAATGAAGAAAATGTAGTAATGGAAAAACGACAAGAAATAAAAATGATGACCATAAAACAAACATTTAAATACCAATAGGGAACAAAAAAAAGGAAACACACCCAAAGTCAAGTAATAAGTAACACAATTATTGTAGCATATTCACTGCCAAAATGGCCCCCCAGCATGCTGAACTAATAACCTACAATAAAATCCATTTACTGTTGAAAGAGATCTCAGAGTAAATAAATACAAAAACACCAGTGGAAAAAAATTAGGGTTTTAGGTAATACATAAAATAGTAAATCAAACTACACCGAACCAGTGACACTTACTTGTATCAAAATATTTACATCGACGTGGGCGGATTATTTCCTGGGCATCTTGAGAAGCAACAGATTGTGATGGATCACCATTGGAAGACTGAGTTTCATCCTCTTGACCCGATGAATCCTTTATATTCTCTTCCTGTGAAATAATAAATTAAATTTCTTTAAGATGTAAAGAAAACTGTTGCAAATGAAAGACGATGGTGTTCAAATTTCGTTTTAAATACAACTAGAAAACTAAAATGAATATACTAAATGCAATGTGGTATACTGGGTTGGCTCCTGGAACAGGAAAAAAGGACATTAGTGGGAAAAACTAGTGAAATGTCCATAGTTTAATACTGTACCAGTGCTGAATTCTTAGTTTTGATAATTATACCATGGGTACATAAGATGTTAACATTAGGGGAAGTGGGGTTATTAGTATACAGGAATTTTCTATACTATCTCTGAACCTCTTCTGTGTATCTAAAATTATTTCAAATTAAGACAAGAAAAATAAATACAGAACTGCCAATTAGCCTTTATTATTTAAAAAGCAATAAATAGCATTTTCTAAAAACTTGGGATAAATAATCTAGAATAAGCACTGAAAAGAATGACATAGACTATAAACTGTTACCTCCCAGGAATAGATTACAGGGGATTTCCAACTTTTATATTACATATTTCTCTAACATCTTAATTTTTTTTTTTGTCCTTTTTGAGACCGGCCGCACTGCGCTCAGCCAGTGAGCGCTGTGAGCACACTGGTCATCCCTATATAGGATCCGAACCCGCGGAGGGAGCGCTGCTGCACTCCCAGCGTCGCACTCTCCCGAGTGCACCACGGGCTCGGCCCTAACATCTTAATTTTTAACAATGAAGTGCATTACTTGTAAAATCAGAAAGAGTAAAGATTATAAAACATAAGTAAAATGAATATATCAAGAAATTACAACCTCAACAATAAAGATTATAATCTTAAACATATATGTATAGACCCTTACTTTATTTTCCCCACTACAGCCACTGTTGTCATCATTATCAGCATCCTCATCATCTTCACCTTCTTCTTCCTCTTCTTCTTCTTCCTCATCTTCTTCAGGTAGTCGAACAGTACTATCATAACCATAAAGGCTGAGAAGTTCATGAATTGGCATGTCACCTTCCTAAACAGACAAAAATAAAAGTTAATTTCTGAATCAGTGGTATTTCATATTCTAGATTATAGTTCACAAATCTATAGAGTACTCATTATATACAGAAGAATACTCTTAGAACTGTATCAAGAATTCTCAAATCATAAAAAGTAAAAAAATTACTGAAACCTCGGAATAACCCAGTCTTTTAAGTATTTTTATAGAACTAACCAATTCTAATTGCTAACAACAAAATCTTTTAGAACGATAAAAACTAAACAGTGGTCTAAAACAATTTTATTTTTACAATTTTAACACAATATATGAAATTCATACATAATAAGAGTACCACACTTAATTTGTGTATGGAGAAATAGAATAATTAGAAAACAGACTGAAAACTAAGTTAAAATGAGAAAGAAAAAATAAAATCCATAGCCCAACCCAAACACACTAAAAGAAAAACAGCAACGATACACAGAAATGATAATAAATTCTGTTTACCATATATTCTTTTCTATGGTTATCTCCACTTACATATAAAATTATCTCATGCAATCCTTACCATTTGTCTTACAGAATTGTTACATTATCTTCATTTCAAAGATGAGGAAATGGAGGCTGAACAATTAAGCAATTTTCTCAAAGATCACACAGGTTACAGGGAGAAGAGCCAGATTTAAACAGTCTAACTCCAAAAGTCCATACTTTTATCTGTACACCAAGATGCCTCAGCCAGGGACCTCCCTCAATCCCCCCAAAAAACATACCCTCTGGATGAAAAAATATCCATACGCAGTAAAATGAAACCAGCTTTCTGTAGAAGGCACTCACTCTAATCAATAATCATGTGATGTAAAGTATCAGGGAAACATGACAGAGTTCTGATAATAAAAAGAATATTTAACCCAAATCATTTGAACACATATACAAGCACACCATACAACACGAACACACACTCTGAAGAAAAAGAGTAGTCAGCCATTTTAGAACCTAGAAAAATAGTATTCATGAATAAGAAATGTTTTTTATTTCCCCAGCAGTCATCGCTTTATTCACAGACAGAAATAAGTCTAGCTCATGTGTTGAACACACTGCTACAGTGGAGAGGGGTACATCAGACTGGATAAGATAACCTGATGACACTACCGCTTAGAACATACAGTTAACCCCCATCACTCAGAATCCATGTTCAAGAAGCAATATAATGATTATAAGATTTTCTTATAGGGAGAAATAAGAGAGAAAATGACATTCAACAGTTCTATTTTACATTGTAAATGGATATTCTGGTTATAAATCAGTTTGTGAATCTGTTTTTGAAAGACAGATCAGTTCTCAGAGCCCTAATAATTTGCACAAGCTACAACCTGAAAAGAGGTAACTGTATGAGGGACAACGTATTGCTACTCCAGCTGAAAAACAGCTGGCATACTTAACTGACAGCTCTTACATCGTGGTTCTCAAAGTACAACACAAACAATGCTTGAAGTGTCAAGGATTTGTTCCATGCAGATCTGGTCCTTGTACTACAGACATTGTACAAGACACTGAAATACGGGAATTAGAAGGCAGATACTTAAGAACTAAAACTAAAACATAAAAGTAGAATAACAGAAAGATATAGAAAAGGCTAGTTTTGTACACAAGAATAACAAATAGCTGCCATAAAGTGTCTTCTATGTGGGAAGCATTTGTGATTGGTACTTTGATTTCATTGCCTTATTTTCTCTTAAGAAAGCAAGCACAGTCAAACATTACACAATCTCATCAGATCCTTACAAGTACCAGATTGGAGTGTTCGATACACTTATTTGCAAATAAGGAAATCCTGCAGAGAGAAACATCACATAATGGTAGAGACGAGACTTCTAAATCCCAGCTCATATAACTTTCCTAAAGTTTACATCCTGTGCCCAAATTAAAACAGGTTTAGCAACTGAAGTCATTACTATGACTTCACTAAAGTTACTACTATGAGTAAGGAAGGGCCAAACAAGAAAAAAGCATGTTAGCCTAACATTTAACCAACGTTTACATGGGCCTTAAGAATGCATAAAGAGCTTTTTTACATTTAGCGCATCTTCAAAACTATCTAAACATATGCTACTACTACTTCTAATTTCTAAAACTGAGTTCATCAATACTTTGGAGACCAAACAGCTAATTAAATGGCAGTACTCTATTCTGAACTCATCTTCTGACTAGACCATGGTACTTAGTCTACTCTAAGAGGCAGATTAACAATCAAATAAATGCGCTCAGGCTCTTTACTGTTGGGTCTGTCTTATTCAAGAGAATAAGAATCACCTTAAGAGCTTAATAAAACAGGTTGCTGGGCCTCACCACAGAGTTTCTGACCTAGTAGGTCTTAAGTGGGGCCTGAGAATCTGCATTTTTAAAAAGTCTTAGGTGATGCAGATGCAATTGCTGATGCTACTGGTGTGAGACCACCTTGAGAGGCACTAATCTCGCAGGTGTAAGATACCTGCAAATCAGCCTTTCCAGCGGGAGGTAATAAAACTTGAACATTACCTTTAATAAAGCTTATCACTAACAAATCATATCTACCTCAGTGATCTGTCCAAAGGGTAAGTGACATACTAACTGCATGGAAAGACGTGTGTGTTTAAAACCACTATCAAGAATGTAGAGTATCTGATATCCATAGTTAGATAAGATTTCTCCCTCTTGGATACACAGATGAGAAGTATGACTCACTTTATAAAAATTCATTTCTCAAAGAAAAATTCAGCAACACCTCCAATACTGATTAAGCAGAGAAAAGAGAGTCAATAGTGGCTTGATCACTGTGCATTTGGAGAACAGCTTGAATTAGAAGAGTAACACGAGGGTACCTCAAAAAGTTTATGAAGATTCACATTATCTTTTAATTCTATTTTTCCATAAACTTGTTGACGTACCCTTGTAGAAATGGTACAGATAGAGAAAAGGCATTCAAATCAGAGGAACTTACAAATGCAAAGGTATAAAAACAGGAATGATGATCAGTTCACCCTGACTAGATCAGACATACCATCGTAGTAACTAAAAAAAAAGAAATATAATTTCAGAAGGCCATAGATCACTGAAAGATCAGTTATAGATTACTGAAAGTTAGGGTTGGAATTTTTACCTACTCACTCTAGTTTTACCTAGTTTCTAAAGGAATATGTTATACTCTACTTTTGACTCAATTTCAGAGTAGCTATCAAGCAGTTACTGACACTATGGAAGGGTAAGGGAAAATTACACACATAAAATTTTCAACATCGACTTAGGTAGGGAAAAGTTTAGTCTGCTAAGGAGACTGAGGTAGGTGGGAACCCATTACTATTATTCACTACACATTCACCTGTAGTGTAATCAGAACCTAAACTAAATTAGTGGTTGTGGAAACAAAATAAAGCAAAGCAAAACAAAACAAAACAATGAAGAGATCCTGCAGAAGAAATCAACAGAATTTACTCAGGGATTAGGAGTGGTGGATACCTTGGTGATGCTGAATCCCTGGTTCCATACATTCCTTGCAGCCAGCTACACATTCACATGATGCCTAATAAAGTTTCTTTTTAGTCAACATTATTTTTAGGCAGTTCTATTATGTGCAAACAAAATACCCTTGCCTATTCCATCAAAAAAATGCTTGCTTAATATTAAAAACTAGGAGTATATAGTGGTTTTATGCTTTTGCTTAAATATTAAATTGTAGCTTAACCTCTGTCACCCAATATCAAGTTAGTAAGCAACAAGGAAAAAGCAATTATCACCACTGAGAACACAAGTCAGAGCTTAACAGTACTATGAAAGGAATCTTATCTGATCTAAAGTTAAAGTGAAGATCTTGCAGCAAACACTGGGCCATAACTACAATAAAAATTAGAATCAGTTTTGCTGAGGAATCCTGTTTCAAATTAAAGTAACACTTACTGTGTCCCTACTTTATGCTAACTGAAGTATTTAAAGATTTAGCAAGCAAAAACAGGTTACCATGTAAGAATTATCTCTTGTTATCTGCCCCCCATCCCTTTCCTACTGTCTTTTACTTCTGTACTCATCTTCTCCAAGAAAATATTCTTTCCACCATTTCAAGCATCTATTTTAATTGAAAGCTCACCTCCTGGACTATAGCATCTGACCCAACAGGAATCACTGCAGTCCCTGTCCATAGGTTTGCCGTGGGCACAAGACCCAAGCTTGTCCATAGTTTGTTTCTGGAATTTTATCAACGGCAGCTAAAGAAAGAAACACAGACTGTCTCAAGCAGCAAATGGAGGAGACCTTGGAACTGATAGGATCATATAAAAAAAAGTTGGTCTGAAAAAGGAAGACAACCATGTAGAAAAGCAGAGACGGAGAAAATATACTCTGGTGGCATTTGAGTCCCTGAAGCCTAGATATATCCTTTACCTTAATGAAATTTCGTGAGCATTACACTAAATTCTTCATTTTGCCTAAGCTAGTTCCACATGGACTTCTGTCTCTGCACCTCCAAATTCTGATGCTACAACAGTAATGATATTTTGTAAAGCAAATATTCTTTTTTTTCCTTCTGAAAGACTAAAAGATGAATAAAACTTCACCAACAGTACATTATTATACTAGGGCCTGTCAGTCACTTGATCCACTAGCTTGTATCATCAAAATCTGCATTCTACCAGGTACTAATGGTTTTCTCTCAACTTAAACTGAAATATCACACTAAAGTGACAACAGTGTTTTATTTACATTCATACAAGTGTTAAGGGTACAGAAACAGGGGAGCAAAGTGAAAGAGAAAACTGTGGGTCAAGCAGTGGGTTTTCACAGCTGTAGGTCACAGACCTCTTTAAAAATCTTATGAATGATATAACTACTAAGATTTATTTGGTACTTATCATGTGCCAGACATTGTACTAAGTGCTTTAGATATACTATTCTTGTAATAACTGAAGCTCAACAATGTTGAGGAACTTATCCAAAGCCAAACACTGAATAAGTAGTGCAGCTAAATTATGAACGCAGGCAGTCTGACTCACTGCTTTACACTGCTTTTACAAACACATGCATATATACTGCCTTCCTTGAAACCTGATCTTAGGTTAAGTGTACATTATTCTGATGTAGTGTGAAATAAGATATGATGGGTTGATAGATTATAATAAGGAAAATAGGCACAGTACAAGATGAATAAAAATATATGAACGTGCACTAAACTTGTATAGTGTTGTTTAACAAATAAGTTGTGTAAGCACTGTAACAAAAAGAGGGGCAATCATGTCTCCATAAGCTAAAGGGAGGCTGGAGGTAGAAAGAATGGACTTTTTAAAAGACAAACATCATATGAGAAACTAAGTCTGTCCTAATTTCAACACAATAGGGCAAAGTTATCAAACACCAGCAGACAATAGTATTGTCAGGTTGGAGTGGTATGCATCTCCTGGCTGCTGAAGAGGTGGCTCCTTCTTCCTCACATCGGGGTCAGTCATGACTGTGCCGGGCAGCAGACGATGGTGTTCAAGTCAGGGCCACTTGGTGTACAGACACAGTACTCTTCTCAAACCAATTACACCAAAACTGACTTACCAATAAATGCTTATGAAGAAGGGAAAAAGAAGGAAAGTGGGGTCAGTCATGACTGTGCCGGGCAGCAGACGATGGTGTTCAAGTCAGGGACACTTGGTGTACAGACACAGTACTCTTCTCATACCAATTACACCAAAACTGACTTACCAATAAATGCTTATGAAGAAGGGAAAAAGAAGGAAAGAGGCTGATTTGCAGCCAAGAAGGCCTAAGGGACCACATTCAGATTGGACTAGAGGGACAGTTCCTAAGGTAACCAATCTCTTGAACTTGGGGCTTGACTAGAAGATAAACTATGAAGGAATGGAGGCAGTGAACTCTTCTTTATAATTCCCACACTGGGGTTTCTTTTGTATCTATACAATTCATGTTGTGTATATTCTTCAAGAAAATCTCAGTTTCTCACATTTTAATCTTTATTCCCTAACTCTGGAGATTTACTGGATGGAACACATCTAGTACTTTAAAAAGTATATTAAGTATTCATATTGTTATGGTGTGATTTTTTTCTTAAAGCATATCTATGTACATAGAGATATTATAATCCTGATATTTCTTTTCCCAAATGGACTGCTACAGTTGTGTACGTTCAGAGTCTTTTGAGTTTTAAGAGTACATTTGGAAAACAGAGTTAACTCTGAGTACAGCTATTTATTTCAAATAAAAGTCTATTTACCATGGAAATGATTTTGACACCACTTTTAAGATCACCACAATAAATTCTAACCTATATCTAGTTTTAGTAAAACATCTAAATGCTGAAATTATATAATTAATACACCTTTTCTATTGACAGGATACATGCATGCAAATGTAACAATACACATCAAAGCTTCTATCGTTAGCTTTCATTACAAATTTTAGAATTCAAATTGAATAAACTTAAAACCACATGCTATGCAGTTATAAGTCCTGAATGAATCAATTGTCAGAGTTCTGCCACAAATTACATCAAAAATCCATTTTCATGCGACCAACGTACCAGGTGAAAAACACTTTACCAATTTCCTGACATAAATAATACTTTGCTTCTATAAAAGCAAATCAGCAATCAACATGACAAAATCTTGTTCACTTTTTTAATTTAAAAAAAAAAAAAAAAAAAAAAGCTTGGTTTGGTTCACACCTAAGGAGTTCATAGCTATAGGAAATCCAACATGTTGGCCCTGAACTAGCTTAGTTTCAGATTATAGATGAAAGCATTAGTGATTATGTGCTACTTAAACCTAGGCTTTAATGGTTTCTGGGAGAAATTAGAGAAGAATCTGGAAGTTGTAAGCCTGTCTGGTTTAAAGGAATATAAAGGACTGGTTCTACTGTCTTTTTCTTCCTTTCTCTATCCTCTATAAATAATTCTTTAATTACTATTTCCTAAGGAAGGATCATTTGAAAGCAAATTTTGGGGGACTGTAAGAAGCTGGGGAAAGGGTTAAAGGGAGAAAGAAGTAGGAAAAAAACAATGACATGCCCAAAATTTTAGCAAAGCCCATTAGTAATTTTATACTAATTAAGTGTAATAGCCCATTTTCTGAAAGAGAAGAAAACAATCATCATTCTACCTCATAACCTATTACAAACTATACCTCTTGCTTATTAGTATCTGAGTTAATACAGAATATAAGATGGAAAGTACAAGATTTTCCTCCTTTACCCTTTATCCCATAGATGGGTTATTTGGAAGCAGGAAAATGTATCTAAAGTGATAGAAGTTTCTGAAAATATAGGCAAATAAGTGAAAACAACTGGCTTTCCACTTTACAAATATGAAGTGACTGACTGTTAAATCAATTGTTTCTCTTCGTGTTTATCTAGGTTCTGAATCATCCAAGCAAATCATCCCTGTCTTTTGAATAGCTTCCCAGTCTCTTACTTTTAAAGAATACTTCTGACTCCAAGTTCTTCATGTGCTTTTTAACCCATTCTTGAAAAGCTTTTGTGATTACCAATGTAAACCATCGCCATTAAGACCAATTTTGTTCTCTGGCTCATAATAACAAAGTATTAAATTGCTTAGCACTGTGGATAAAGCCTGCCCTAACAACTAAATGATCCAAAAATGAGAGCACCTAATAAGATCTGACTAAACAGTAAGAAAACTCCTTTATGAGCTCCTTAAATGTATACTTTAAAAAGTTCCAAACTAAAATTCTGAAACACAGATGACTATAAAAGTATAAGTTTTCATTCTTCCATTATATTATGTATTCTAAATCCTTAAAGGCTGGTACTGTGCCTTATTTTTTATATTCTTTTTATCGTGGAGTAAAACAGATCATATGTGTAATATATTTTATTAGAGCATACCAGATTGATTTATCCATTCGTTCATTCAATACTTTTTTGTGAGTAACCACTATTGCAAGGTACCATGAAATATACAGTCATGGTCCTTCCCCTCGTGAAATTAATGGAGGACAGAGATAATTAATTAAACAAACATATAATTACAAATTGTGTTACGTATAAAAGAAAGCACTGAATATTGTGGTTAAAAAAAAAAGGCTAATTAGGGGACAGGAAAGACCAAGAGGAGGCAACACCAAACTCAAAGGATAAAGAGCCAGCCTTGGGAAGCACACACCAGAGAGTGAGAACGAGCTGAAAAGCCTTGAAGCAGGAATAAAATAACTTATCTAAGAAAGCAAGCAGCTAGTGTGGCTGTTACATAGCATAACAGAGCAGTATGATACATGCGTGAGAAGCCATATCACATGGGTGGTCTTGCTGGTCAGGGTAAGGAGTCTGGATTTTCTTTGGGGGTGACAGGAAGCCAGGAGATTGATATATATTGATTTATATTTTGAAAAAAATCATCATAGCTGCTGGGTGGAAATAAATAGGGAGAAAGATGGTACAAGACAAAATGGGAAAAGCAGTTAGGCAAGTTACTTCAAGTGTAGGCTAGAAATGATGGCAACCAGGGCAGAGATGGAGCAAAAGAGTCAGATAAGAGATATTTTTATGGACAGATATGATAGGCTTACTTAAAAACTGGATACTGGGAATGAAGAAAGATGACTCTCTGGTTTCCAGCTTAGGCAACAGGGTAAACAGTAGTGCCATTTTTTTTTACTGCGACAGAGAAGAATGGGTAAGAAGAACAGGGAAAGAACAGGTAAAGGAGGAGAACAATAGTTAATGGTTCTGTTTTGGAATATCCAATCAGAAATGTCAAACTGAATAAACAAAACTTGAGACAGTGAATAGATTAATGCTAGATATATAAACTAAGAAATACTGAGCATATAGATACCATGGGAATAGATTAGATCACATAGTTTAGTAATTTTCAAATTTGGTGTGCATGAAATTCAAACTCACCTAATGAAGAAGTAGATTTGAACCCTACCCCAGGGATTCTGATTGTTTGCCTGGAGAGAGGCATGGGAATCTGCTTTTTTAAAGTAAGTACATGGATGATTCTGATACAGCTGTCCCTCATACTACATTTTAAGGAGCACTGATCTAGAGACAAGAGAGAAGAAAATAAGGTCCAGGCCCAGTACTGAGAATTGGGCAATGCCAACACTTAAATCTTGGGTAAATAGAGAAGAGTGTGCAAAGGGTAGCGAATAGGAACAAAGAGATAAGGAAAACTGGACAGTGGGGTAATCCAGAGTTCAAGTAAAAGAAGGAAGTAATAATTTGCACTAAACACCAATGAGAAAAAAGGTATAGAGAGAAAAGTGAACCTAACAATGGACACAACAATGAAAGTCACTGGTCTCCTTGATTTAAAAAGGCAGGGCAGAGACAATGTAAAGCACTTTACATAATGAAAGGGAAATGAGGAAAATGATAACTCTCAGGACATTTTTGGTTCTGAACGGGAGTAAATAAAAGGTGCAGTAATTGGGAAAGAACAGTAAGTGTGTAAGAGAATACTTAAGATCCTTTTTGAGTCCATTTTTGACTCAGACTTGTGATGTTTTACCAAAGCAATTAATTCTATTATTTTACATAATAAAGTTATTTATATTTTTTAAATGCCTTTCATTTCAAACTTTAAATACTCCACCTAGGTCACACAGAATTTTTCAGTATGGACTATATACAACTCAACTTTCCCCCCCAAAACACAGGTCGAGTACCAAAATTTCAAAAGTTTCTTCTCTCCACAAAAAAGATACGACTTCATCCCTTAGTTCTTAACGTCATTTACCCTTGCAAGATCCTCTATTTCAGAACTGAAGTTTGTTTCTCCTTCCATCATTTCTTCCTCTTCTAATGTTCGTTCATCATCAAAATCATGAACCAGCATGTCAGCTGATGGATCAAATTCATGGTCATCTGATGTTGCTGAACCTCCTGGTAAAGAATATTTTAAAAAGTTTGGTATACCAAATTATGTGTATCTTATTAATGTTAATTTAGTATATATGCTTTACTTAATTGAAGCTGGATATGAGTCAAAAGTACCAAGAAAAAGCTATGCACAGCAAGTATGTATAGCTTTTTAGAATTCTTGCCCTTACTCGTCATCACCAAAAAAAAAAAAAAAGCTCTTCTAAGAGATTTTTAACATCTTACCCCTACATATTCACAGTTCCAACTACAAAACTGGGGGGAAGTGTTTATAGTTTTAAAAAAAAGTATGCTGTAACCTTCTAAACATGAAACTTAAGTTGTAAAGAATAAATCGTCATATCAAACAAGAATGGTCTTTTTGTGTGTGGGGGGGGAAATCACAATTCTTAACCATTTGATTAATGTTTGATGAACCCATTGAGTATGAGCACTTTTGGCCCCTGAGGAGAATATACTTATAGAGTCATGTGAAATATAGATTCACCTAAGTATACAGTCTAGTGAAAATACAGCCGCACTCAAATATTTTTCTATCAGTACTTCCTTGAACATCCATTCTAATATTTGAGTAGCTGTCCTTAACTTACTTAGTTGATTTTGATCTGAAATAACTCAAAGTGTGTAAAGCAAAATTTGTTAAAACTGCATACAGAATTCTTATCAAAGGCATTAAAAATAATCTAGTAGGTAACTGATGTGTAAGCTAATCTACTGATAGCCTCGTGTTTAGGGAATATTGCTGGATTCAACAGGGTCAAGCTTTGTAATAGTACACTGCAAAGACTGGGATATATATTCTTGACTATTGCCAAACCTCAAGTTAAGTTTGCTAAAGCATTGTTCACTAATAAACACGAAAAAATTCATTAGCAATTTTGTTTATCAGTTTAAACTGCTCAAGTCTACAATTAATAGACATATCTATCCTTTCATTTCACTCCAGAAAGAGAACCAATAAAGAAAACAAAGATACAGATGCTGACTTCTTGAAAACCACACCATTAGGAATAAGGGAGTGCCCAAGGCTCAGTGTTCTTCAGTCACTTCTTAAAATTTTCAGAATAAGAACCATTTCTCGTGTTTACTATGTGCCAGATAGTATGCTCAAGCACTTTACATACACTACCCTAATTAATCTTCAAATAATCCTATGAAGTAGGTATTATCACTCCATTTAAAGAGGAAAAAAATAAAAACAAAACTTCAAGGCTTAGAGAGTTTAAGCAGCATGTCTAAACCCATAGAGCCAGTACGTGACAAAGATGGAATTTGAATCCTGGCTCTGCTAATTCCAATATCTGTGCTTTTACTGCACTCCAAGGCACCTGTAACTCCTCTAAGTATCCTGCCTCAAAGAATACTTATGGAGCGCCTATGTTTACTAAGATGAGTGAATTGCAAACCAGGTCAGATGGCAAAGCACTTAGTATTCTTTCAGGAACATAAGAAAATATTGATATTAAATATAAAATAACTAACTACATACTGTCTGCCAAATTAGATATCTTTTACTAGATTACAGTAAAATGAGTTATTAATTATCAGAGTTTTAGAATGATTTCCAAAATAAAAACTTAGGATAGTACGTTATTTTAATTTCTTCTGGAAATTAAGAAAAGCTTGGCATAATTTTATAAGGGCATCTTAGTACTAGTTGAGGGACTGGACACAAGAGTTTCATAGAAGCACAGTTTCAGAACCACTAATTTAGCTGTAGTTTTTTGTCCCAATTGTTATCTCTTTTTTCTGAGTTTTCAATGAAAAAACTTTTCTGAAACTTTTTAGTTCACACAGGAATCTTCTGGGACACCTAGTAATCAATAATTATGTATTCCTACAGGTGATGTTTTACTTTTCTTCTCCCTTGTTGGCATTAAAGATCCTAAAAAAAAATCCTCACACCACTTCTTTGTATACTATTATCCTAATCATAATATCAGATGCAGGTATGGTCAAAAATAATTATGCTTAATTCCTACCAATAATTATTGTTATACTCTATTAGCCCTTTAAAAAAACTGAAGCTCATATGAGTACACAGCATCAAACAATGAGTATTAATTAATGACTTAACTGAAGTCCCCTATTTTTGTTATTATTTGCAAAGCCAATTTTATTTGAATACTAGCCACTTCACTCCCCAGCTACATGAAATAACAAAATGTGTGGGAACTTTCTCTCCTTACTCACTCCAATTCCTTTTCCCACATATACACTGTACTTTTTTCTATAAGCTTTAAGTTTTTTTTCTTGCTTTAATCTGATCTCTTTGTTTTATCTGACTTCTTTTCACCTTGCTCTTGTGGATCAATTTAACCATCCTATTCTTTTCTGTCAACTGCTAGGCCCATCATTAGTCTGTCTCCTAGGAAAAAAAATAATAAATCCCAACAATAAATTGTTGGGGGTAGGGAGTCTGGCCTTTGTATAAATATTTTGTTCCAGCATTAAGGCAAATATCCCTGCTTTGTCATAAAATCCCATCCTACTGTGGAATTACTAAAAGGTACCTTACATCTTTTCAAAGACAAAGATAAATTCAGTTTATAATATATCATGTACACTATTTAATCATTCTTTTCAAAAATTATCTTCCACTCCCTTAATCCCCATTTCTAATGGCTACTTGTGTTAAGGGTAAAGCCTTATATTGTGCCTCCACTTTGGTTTACATTGGCGGGATCTACAGACAAACCACTTGTGTGGTCATGGGACTATCATAACTAGCACTGATTCTAAAGTACATTTGCTACAAAGGACACAGCTTTTACCAGTGTACCAAAAAATTTTTTTACATAAAGCTTCTATTCCTAATTCTCTCCATCAACTTTTGTAACTGTTTACAACTAGCATTACTTATAAGAACAATAAACATTCTCTTGGGCAGAAGTCTGATATTACAAACACTGTCTAACTCAAAAGATCTTCAGTCTGAAAACAATTTAAAAATACATAAACATTCAATCTATATGCGTAAGTACTCAACAAGTAGCAAAGGCTATTAAAGACATTTGTATTCTTCAAAGTCCACTATTCTAGTTCAGCCTAGACTGATTCAAGTGCAATGGAATCTGAAAAAGCAATTTATTAATATCACATTTGGACTAATTATTTTTATATATCTATGTATTACTTGATGAATACCTCAAAAACTCATAAAAAAAATCTAAAACTCAGTCTATTTGCAATATCACAGTATCAATAAAAACAAATAGAACCTATCAATGAAAATGATTTCTGTTTGAAAGGAAAAGAAAACATGCATTAGAAACAATTCCATGTCTTAAAAAAGGATATGATGATCTAACATTTATCTTAGGTCAGATTACTTCCAACCTCAACTATCCAGAAAATATCTATAAACCAGAAAATTAAAAAAAAAAAAAAATCTATGAGTTTCAGAAATGTCACAAAGCCTAATGCACTTTACTCTCAAGAATATTAGAAACAGAAAGACATTTTCAGCTGCAATAAAAATGACAAAGTCAGCTATCAACAGATCACATTAGTTTTTCAAAAGGGATATGGAGGTAAATTTAGTTCAACCCCCACAGGGTACAGTGATTTGTGTTCATGTAAAGGACCCTGACCACTAAAAAAGGCTTATGTTACGCATGTTTAAAAGCTTTCTACCTTAAACTTAAAACACAGAAAGGTAATTGCTTCAATAATCTGGAAAAATAAGTAATGTGAAATATGCCATATGTAAACATTCAATACATGTGAGATGTTTTCAAATATAACATTACCATGCTGCAGAGGGCTCCCTTCCTCACTCTTCTATATTGGCTGCTCCTTAACCTGTATACCCCATGCAGAAGGCAGTCATTCCTATCTCTCTTGGTAAAGTTTCTGGACACTGAGGCAAAAGACTAGTAGCTGAATCTTTCCTCACTGCTATTTAACTTCAACCAATTATTGCCGTGTAGTATCCAGTGGGTAAGCCAGTACCCTGTGGTGCTAGATCCTGTGACTGATCATGAGAACCCTAAATCTAGATTTGACATAAAATATTCTGATTTTGAAAGACCACTACAGTGGCCAAACAAAAAAAAATTGTGGCTCAAAAATGGTCCAAAGATCACAACCTGTAAGTTAGGAAAAGATGAACCTGTACTATATTTGGGGGAGAATACAAAAATCCTAGATATATGGGGTCAGAGGATAAAACTTGATCCTATTCAAATCTAAACATAACTTACTTAATTTACAACATTAAATATTCACTTGTTGAATCTTTTGCTTACTTTATTTTTCCTTCATTCAGTAAATGTATTAATTTTTTTCTCAAATAAAATATTTTAAATTTCCTACACAAGCATTTCTAAGCTAATTGATTCCTTTTTAAAAAAATATACTTCATATACATACTTCAAATCAAATAACAATTTAAAACTGTACAAAATACATATGGCAATTCATTGAAAAAATTTAAAAAAAAAAAAGAGAGAGACCCCAAAGATAGTCATGAGTATGAACTCACAGAGCCTCACCTGTACTTTCATGGGCAGTCATACATTTCATCCATTTCTTTTTCCCCAGAGAAAAGAAGCGTTCAGAAGAAAAGCAAGTCAGATGACAGTCTAACTTCTAGCCTTTATGCAACTAACAGGACAAATGTTAGTCAAATAGAGATTAAAAAAATATAGAAAATACTTACCTGGACTTGAAGACTCAACAGATGGCTGGTGAGGGGAGGGAGGAGGAGAAAAGAAGAAAAATTAGAATTTTTGTATGGTATACCTTCAAACACATTACAGACATTATTCAATGGCTAATGTGACATCAAAAACTACTATAAGTTTTTGTGACATCAAAAACTACTATAAGTCTGAATTATCTAAGACAAATTAAAACTTCCCAGATAATCCTTTCCCTTTCATTATATTTAAACACAGAAGAAAATTCAAAATGCTCCTGTATCTAGATAAAAAGACAATATGGAACTGATTCAAATTTTAAAAGCAAATATGGACAAATATGTGGTTTAAAAGGTATGATTTCAGATCTTGGAATTCTCTAAAATAGATTTTGTCCTATCAATACATAAAAAACTATGCACAAAATTTGCTATTGAGCTGGTCTCTGGCTTTAAAAAATTGAGTATGAGAAGGGAGGCAAAAACAGTTTAAGACACTATTTTAAATAAAAATTATGTTGTAAGAAAGAAGAAAAAACTAAAATGTTATTTAAGAACCAAACACTGAATTAGGTTAACTTTACAAATAGACAACATATTTTTAAGTTATGATAGTATTAGCAACCACACGAGCTAAAGTCTAGAGAGGTTAGGTTATCTGACAGAAGACAGCACAGATTCCCAATTATAATACTCCTTTTACTGTACTATTCTACCTCTCATAAATTTAACCACAGGCAACTGGAAAACTTAAAAATAAAATTGGTAGCAACTTATTTTAATAATGTTACCACTTGACAGTGTGTGTTGTGTTTTAACCTAATTCAGTTAATTCACAATTATAAAAAAGTAATCTACAAACAAACTCCTAGAAGACAAATTCAATAATGAAACTCAAAAGATGCTTCAAATACCACAAACTTTATACCTAAAATCTTGCCAGTTATTCGGAGCCATTTCATGCCCATTAGAAAACAGAAATGATAGAAGGACAAAAGCACTCGCAAAAGAGAAAAAGGGACATTGTAGTATTTTCTTTTTTCTGCCAAATTATGGGGCAAGAAGAACAGAACAGAAATGAAGAAAAGGCTAGGCACCTAAGGCAAATTCCTATAAGGTGTTAAAGTTCTGTTTTGAAATTGTCCACATTATGCTACTATACTAAGAATAGAATTCTAGACTCCACATGGTGACACAGATTAGGTTCTTTTGAGGTACTTTTTCAAAGGGCCTATTTTTTTTCCCCTTTAAGTTCTTATAAGAGAAGAGTTCTTTCCTATAGCATTGTCTTTCTAACAAAAAAATGACAGCATCCAGTATTATGCATTTCCAATGTCACACCACTATCATTATTTAAAAGTTACTCCGCCAGAACACAATCAATACCGTGCTACTTTTAATTGGTTCCTCTAATGGGAAGCTGTAATGACATGGAGAGGGTGACCTGGAGAGAGTAATGTAACCATAAAAAGGGTTTCTGGCTTATTTAACATCTTTTGGGAAGAGTTATTGGCTCAAAATGGATTTAACCACCACAGAAATTATTACACAGTAAATCAATATTTTAAAATATTAATCTACTTGTATGTCATACAGTTATACTTTATTTCCCAAGTGCAAGCACAACCACTGTGCAAGGCTACAGCAAAATTAATGACAATTTTCATCTGGTCCCAGGTTCACTATCCATAGACTAGCCTTACAATGCTGTTTTTCCTTTGTAGTAAACCTTTAGAACAAATTTGCATGGCATAAACAAACAAAAAAACACAGCCTTTCCTACAAATTAGAAGCTTAAAATAAATGGTTGGGTATTTAGTCCTTTTTGAACACTCCAGTAATTATTCCATTTAACAATCTTCTGATAAAAGGTAAGATTTTGCTGACGTTATATATTAGCAATAGGGACACTGAATTGCAAATGACAACATCTGTATAATCCAGTTTGTAAAAGACCTCACCAGCACTAAATGACGATAAATACCACACTGATTGCTGTTATATTGGTAAATAGTTATCACTTAAAGGTTCTAAAAAAAGTCCCCAAATACTTCCCGTTCACTAAGATACCAAATGTTTAGAGGACTGGTAGCATTTGTACGTACGACCTGTCTAGAGTAGAATGGCCAGTATTCAAAGATAGCATTCATAATATTATGTCAGACATACAAGATTGTTGCAGGACTATGATTTGACTGAAGGTATATCTAGATTAGCACAGGGGGAAAGGAAATAGGGATGGTTTGCCTACAGATACACTTAGTATCTATATACATTTTAATATTGTATGTCCCAAATAAAATTCTATTGTACCATTTTTGGGTGGTAGGAGTGAGATTAGTTTCTTGAAAGTTAATTATATCCAGTTAAATCAAAGAAGAGCTTCTGGAAAACTGGCATTTGAAGAGTTCACACTATAAACATTACTTTGTGTCTAACTGACAAACAAAATGATTATCTTTCAAGATATAATGTGAATTTAGTACCACAGTTTCAGTGTGGAATGAGGGAAATTTTTATTTGGTATGAAAGAGAAGAGCAGAACCAGCTTATGTTTATATAGTGCTACACATTTTCAAATGTATATAGTTACTTCATCATAACCATAAATCTGGCAATAATTCCTGCCTCACCTACTCATTTTATAGAGTAGTAAACCCAAGGAAATAAAGTAACTAGATCAAGGTTCCATGGCAGTTGGTGAAGGTGAACCTGAAGCCTAGAACCTCTGACTCTTCAGTGTTCCTTCTGTACCTTCTAGAGAACTGACTATGCAAAAAATTTTCTCCTTTTACCTCTCTCCTCCTTCCCCTTACTTTCTCTTTTCTTTGTAAAAATGGTTTTCATCAGTTCAAAGCATGTTTAAAACGCAACTACAAGTTGTCATCTGTCAAGCAAGACTTATCTGTGCTTCTTTAGGAACTGGTATCTCTAACAATACCCTCCAGGAAAACCTGGGACATCTACTATTAATTACTACAGTTAAGTTAGAAAGAAGAGGGACATACAAAACTAAAGCTGAACAAGTACTTATTCATAACATGGCCTGATTTTAGAAAAAAACTCAAATTATAGAATGTAAGCAGAAAAGAAAATTTTAAATTGAGGATTAGAATGTATTTAAAATGCACTCATATATTACTGGTAGAAATACAAGTTGTTTCAAACATTTTGGAGATCATTCTGACAACATGAGCTTACCCTACTGATAAATCTAACACCAAGATATATGTATAAATTGACTACCACAATACTGTTCATAACAAAATGTTAGAAAAAAATCTAAAGCCCATCATTTAATTAGTTATACATGATATACAGTTCTTTCAAACACTGGAATGCTATGAATCTATTGAAAAGAATGAGACAGATCTGTTTGTGTTGAGAGAGGGGAAGAAATGCTTTAAAAAAAATTAGGCTTAAAAAGTGTAGAACAGGGAGTAAACTGGGCTGGAATATGAAAAAATAAAGAAATAAAAATTCCCCAAAAGGACACACAAGAATCTGTTAACAATAGTTACCTCTAGGAAATAGGTCAGGGAGAGGAGACTTTTTTCATTTTATACCTTTCTATACTGTTGAAATTTTTTAACAACTTGCATGCATTACTCATTCTTTTTTAAAAAGAAAGTCAAAGGGGATTATCTTGTGGAATTATGAGTCATTTTTATATATCCTTCCTTGACTTTTCAACTCTTAAGAAGACGTAGTAGTTGTGACAATTTTTTTTAATCTATAATTTTGAAAAATTACAGTTTTCTTTTTGGCATATACATACTTGTTTTATTTGAAATGGAAAACATAACATTAGTTAGAAAGATACATGCAGAATATGAGTAGGCTAAATCAAATTTAAAAAACGAACTCTAGTAATTTTTATAGCAAGTCACCCTCACCCATATATTTATATGATTTAGTTGATAAAGTTGCTAACAGATGTAATAAATATTCAATGCCTCAGATTTGCTGAAATCTTTCTTTTTTATATTCTTCAAGAACATGACGATAAATGTCCCATACAACAAAAAAACATAATTTGGAAGAGAATAAAAAATTAACTAGACTATTACCATTATTTTTACAATAAAACAAAACAAAACAAAAAAAAGTCAAGGTAGTAAAAACAAAGCAATCATTAAACTGTTTTATTCTAGGCAAACAAAAGCTTATTTTCAATGAGTATAACTATCTGAATGAATCGTTTCCCTCAAACCAATTCCACCACCACTTCTTTAAGTGTTGCCATCACTTAGTTACGTAGACTTTAAATCAAAGATTCTCCCAGCAATAGAGATGGGGATAGAAGCCAGGACAGAGTTAGGGGCCCTACTCCAGGGTTAAAGGTTTAGCGGTACTGTGCCAAGGGCTCACCGTCCCTCTCCCCCCATACAAAATTAAGTCACTTAACTTTGCTGTTACTCTCAGGAAAGCTGGAGTATATAACAAGGCTAAAAATGTACTGGAGTTAAAATAAGTAAATTTACAACTGCAGTAATAATTTAGAGGATAAAACAGTACTGGAAAATACGCACTAGGAATTCAGAAGCCTGGGTTACAGTCTTAATTGTGCCAAAGACGAATTGCATGACCTAGGACAAATTGCATCAACTCTCTGCTCAGTCTCATTTTCTCTACAATGAAAAGATTTAGATTTCTTCAAGTTTAGTTCAATTTCCTTTGAGACCAAAGTTCTTTTATTACGAATTGCTCAAAAAAACATAACGCTACCAAAAAGTACTTAGCTAAATGGATGGGATATGTTTTAGTCTCTTCAGAATTCATTTTTTTAAATCTAAGACTGTAAGGAAAAGACAATCTCAAATTTGCAAAAGACTTTCTTGGGGTGCTACTTTATGAACTTCATATCTACATAAGTATAACAATCATTCTTCTAAGCCATAGAATAAGTCAAACAGAATGGGCCCCAAGCAACAACTGTTACTTTAACAGTTTAATCACTGCAATGACTTTTGAAACTACTTGCAAATCTTTTGAAATATACTAAGGACTCGATCTGAACTCAAGCAGAAATTTCAATATAGCTGA